TAATAATAAAACATGATAATAACACTCATATAAAAATCGCTAGCTCAAAGAAATAATAAAACACGCCGATAAAATACCGTTTTTTTGTTGTTGTTGTTGTTATAATCGAACATTTATTGCAATACTAATTATTATTCTTATTATTTTTATTATTTATTTATTTATTTATTTATTTATTTATTTAGAACATAACGGGACATGCCCTTTCGTACAAAAGTACTCCTAAATTCTAATAGTTACGTAAGTAACAATACAAAATATAAAATATTAACTAAATCTAGGTAGGCGCTATAATGGCTAAAGTTCATTATAAGTTTATACAGTAAAGAATAACATAAATCAAATTACATTATTATCAAAAGAGAAGATTAATTTTCGATAAATAGAATCTGCTTTACCATTATATCAATTATTATTAATATTCTTATTTTTTTTTCCTTATTACAAATAAATATTAATTTAGTTTTTAGTTTTGAAAATTTTAATCATCAAAATGTGAAATTAGTAAAAATGTTACTAATTATATTGTCTAATTAAAAATGTCTGACTGAAACCTACTTTTGCTACTAAGACTAAATTTCAGTAAAAAATTAAATTGTCTGACTAAAACTGACTTTTACTACTGGCATTGAATTTTCTGACTATTTCTATGTAATTTCTTTTTTCCTAATGAAAGGAAATCAATTTTTTTAATTTGTCTGACTAAAGCAGACTTACACTATTGGTACGGAAATTTTTTGTCTGACTAAAATTGTTTTTTACCACTGAGACTTAAATTACAGTAGTACCATTTTTGTCTGACTAAAAATAATCTTTACTACACTGAGAAAAAAAATTTAGTGTTTGCAACAAAATTGTTTGATTAGGCAATTTTGGTTCTTGTAACCAAATTTTGGTTGGCTGAAACAAAGTCGTAGAGTTATCTCAACCAAACATTTGGTTAGGTCAACAAAATTATTTGGTTGAAAATTTTTAAATTCCAACCAAAATTCGGTTACGACAACAAAATAATTTGGTTAACACAACAAAATAGTTTGGTCTAAAATACCAAATGATCGTTTGTTGTCCTAACAAAAAAAATTTGGTTGAGCTAACCAAACATTTTTATTATGCCAACAAAAAACATTCAACCAAATTTTTTGGTTGACTCAAACAAATAGTTTGGTTGCTTAAATACCAACAATAATTTTTTTTTTTGCCCAACCAAATTTTGGTTGGTCTGACTAAACATTTTTCTCAGTGTACTGATATTGAAAATATCAGTTTTTATATTAAAATATAAAAACTAGTCTGACTCAAACCAGTATTTACTACTTATAGTAAAATTATAAGATTTTAAACATTTTTTTTTCGATAAAACAGTATTTTCCTATTGCAAAACTAAATTTTTTCTAAATTCAATTTTTGATTTCAAAATTACATTAAAAACGTAGAAATATTCTGTCTGACTGAAATAGTCTCTTACTATTCAGTCTAAACTTCAGAGTCTGACTGCTGCTTTTACTACTGATACTGATTCTGTAATTTTAGGAATTAAAACTTGTCTAACTAAAACTAGAAATTACTACTGATATTAAAGAATATAAAAATTTGGAATTTTTTTGTCTGACTAAAACTTTGACTAACAATTTTTACGTCTGACCGTTCCTGACTTTTACTACTGGTACTAAAATCTAAGAATTTTCTAATAGTTTGACTCAAACCGACTTTTACTACTTATAGTAAAATAACAAGATTTTACATTTTCTTTTTCTGAATTTAATTTTTATTTAAATTTCTTATCCTTCACTTGATATTTTCTATTTTATTGTAAAAAATAATCTTTTTCTGATATCGTGTAGATTAATCTTTTTTATATTTGAGAAAGAAAAAATTAAATTTAAATATTGGCAAAAGTTTAACTGTCCAACTCAACGAGGTTGTCGCCTTCAAAAAAATAAAGATCCCCCTTATCATGTTCGTTAAACAAATATATATCTTATCACTTGCATGGATCGCGACAATATATAATAATTCCCCCTTAAGCCAGTAAAATTTATAAAAGAGAAAAATTGTTCTCTGTATTATAATTTCATGGCTTCATAATGATTTGATTACTTATTTAGTCATATATATATATATATATATAAAAAAGAGAGAGAGAGTGCTTTTAACCTTTGCATGCAAATCAAGTAACCATACGTTATTAGATGTAATTCTTTTTCTTCCAAGAGGCGTGGAAATGCAAATAAACTCTTGACAACTTCAATCACTAAATAACATGTACTTTTTATGACTATATATTATCTACAGAGAGAGAGAGAGAGAATAAAAAAATTCATTATTTTATTATTTATTATTATTTTTTAAAATAAAAATAATTTTAATCGTTATTTCGTTTACCGTTTTTTTTAATGTTAAAATGATAAAAATAATAAATAAATAAATACTACAAATTTAAATAATTATTGTGACTTTTTCAAATTTTTCAAAATTATTTATATCTATAATTTTAGTTATTATAACTTTACTAACATTTTATTAGGTTTTTTTTCTTTCTTTACTTTCTTGTTAAATTAATTTTTTATTTTCTCATTAAAGGGAGATAATTCTTTACATTTTTTTTATGTCTGACAATTATTATTATTTATATTTTTATTATTATTGTTATTATTTTTATTTTTATTATTATTATTGTTATTATTTTTATTATTATTATTTTTATTATTATTATTTTTATTATTATTTTTATTATTATTATTGTTATTCTTTTATTTTTATTATTATTTTTATTTTCATTTATATTATTATTTGCCAAAAAAAAAAAAATTGATAAAATAAACGCGATATAATATCTCATGGAAATTTTTCATTTAAATACAATGTTTCATATATATAATAATGTTTCGAAGAGAAGAAAGAGAGTGCAGACGATGTTTTATAAATAGTTGAACTAAAAATTTTTGCTCGAATTGTCGTGTGTATTATTAATTATTTGAAATGTAAGGTTAAATAAAAAAGAGAGGTACAACCTTTAACTTTTATAAAAACAGTAACCCAAGGTGAGCCTAACTTTGACGGGTCATAAATAGAATGAATTAAATAACAGGCAACTCGACAATAATTTGAATAATTTACTCGATAAAATAGATCGAATAATAAGCACACGACTTTTTTTTCACTATATATATATATATATTTTTTTTTTCCCTCCTTATATAACTATAGTTTAGATCAACATCAAAAGGATGCTGGTATATATATATATTTTTTTTTATTTATTTTTTTTTTTAAATCTGACCGCGACACGTGACGCTCCGAGCACTTGTCTCTCTTGACTCGGAGTTATTTTTTCCAATTTATTTTTTTTCTTTTCATTTACTTTTTTTCATATTTTTTTGTTTTGTTTTTTTTTTTCGTTGAATATGATTTCCCCCCTAAAACCACCTCTTTGCTCTATCAGGACGAATATTTAGAGAATAATATATATATATATATATATATATATATATATATATAAAGTGGGATGAAATACGAGCCTGGGAAAAATACGTCAAGTATATAAGGGTTGCTTGATATGCCTAAGGGAGAATATCAACTTGAAGAATGCATTAGAAAAAAAACTTTTTTCTTATAGTTAAGAAGTAATAAAAACACATTCGAGGAATTACAAAAAGCTCACGGGAGAAAGAGAGATAGATAGACCCGAACGTGAGTTTGGTGCTAATGATAAAAGAAAGTTGGAGAAAAAAAAAATTAAGTGCTTTGCAGACAATGTAATTTTGGATAAGGACACTTTGGAGGAGACGATTTATTTGATTCGAGAACGATTTGTCTGAATGCACGTACCTTAATGTCTTGTTTTTGTAACCAAAAAGAAAATGCTTGTAATTTTTTTTTTTTTTTGGAAAAATTGAACAAAAATATGTTTAGTAATTTTTTGAAAATTGAATATTTTTTTCAATTTAGAAAACAAATATTTTATTTAATTCATTTTTGTTTCAAATTCATTTATTTTGACTATTCAAAATTGATAAATATAATTATTATAATAGAAAGAAAATAAAAAAAAAAAAGAAAAAAAAATTAATTTACTAAACTTGTTTTGAATTCAAATATATATCTGTACATCGAATTCAATAATTGAAGCCTTAGTAAAACAATCATTGTCAATAGGTTGATGTACGCTCGGCTAATTTATACAATCGGACGATTGGAAATTCAGTTTCTAATGCCGCAGGGGTAAATTATCTAATTTTCAGTCATTGCTGTTAGAATCAAATGAAACAGTAGAAGAGGTAAATTTATTTAATGATTTAACTTCATGTTGCAAATTGACCGAATTGTTTCTAAAAAAAAGAGAAAAAAAATTTAACTGAAATATCTGTTTATTTTTATTTATTTTTTATTTTATTTTTATTATTATTATTATTTATTTCTATATTTAATCATATTAAATAAAAATTACATTTAACCTTTCTCGAAAAAAGTTTTACGATTTTTTTCTACTTCATTTGCCAATTAATATTATAGGAGAGTTGTAATATATATATATATAGTTTGTTTTTTTTTATTGAATGAAATTTTAATTAAAAGGGCGTATGACAGGACATTCTTCACATTATTTATTTTGTTGAAAAATATAAATTATTATTATCCTCGTTATCAAAGGGAAAAAAAGAAATAATAAATCACTTTTAGTGACCGAATAAAAAATTTCTTTTTGCAATAAAAAAAAAAAAGATAATTTATTCTCCCATTTTGAATGTTTTATATTTATTTCACTTTTCTTTTGTCTGTAACAAAAAAAAAATTTATTAAAAACTTACTAAACATTTCGTATAATATTAATTAATAATAATTTTTTTTATTGTGATTATTAATTATAATATTAAATATAATATTAACTATTAATTAAAATACAATAAATATTAATTAATTACTAATAAAATAAAAAAATATAATTAAAAATGATTTTTCTAAATGAAATAATTAATAATTATTTTTTTTTTATTTTTCAGAAAAATTCTTGAAGAAAAATGGGAGAAACATGTAAGTTAATGAAATAATATAATTTTATTTTTTTTAACGTGCCGAGAGAGAGAGAGAGAGAGAGAGAGGGTATGTAACATTTTCTATGGCTCGTTTTGTGACTCATGAAATTCATATAAACACAATTACGATGTCCCGAGGGTAACTGGCCGTATAGTTTACAGACTGTAAAATTAATTAATCAAATTTGAAGGTAGAAATTTTTTTTTTGTTCTACTATATACAAGATAGTTATTTAAATATATATACACTTGCCAAAAGTATAATTTAATCTTCATTAGTTTAATTTTAGATTATTTAAATAATATCAAAGATAATTTATGAAGATTTTCATTTAGCTTCACTTTTACATTCCAATTTATATATATATATATATATGTACCATTTTTGGAATTACATTCAAAATGTGAAATTCCTCCCATAAAATTAATTATCCATTAAAATTTTACAAGTACATAGTGAATTATATTTTCGTATGATAATTCATCTATTTGTATGATAATGAACGTGAATTTATTTGAAAATCTTGCAGACATCTGGAAAAATGAATTAATTTCTTCAATCTTTTCACGATATTTCTAATGGAATTTTTGCCAATTATATTATCTTGTTCTTTTTTTAATCGAATTTTAGAAAATCAATTAGAAATCAATTTAAAAATCAATTTAAAATAATAATAATAATAATAATAATAATAATAATATCTTATATTATATTAAGTTAACAAATTTCGAAAAACGACACCGACCCCGTGACCTCGACACCGTCCTTGAAAAATCTATTTTCAATTATTTTCAAATAAATCAAATTACTTTACATATATGCTTTTAGAAAATCTTACAAACTATTTTTATGTAACATCTTTTTTCAATTTTAACCCGAAAAAGGGTTATTTTTCAATTTTAACCCGAAAAAGGGTTATTTTGCAATTTTAACCCGAAAAAGAGTTATTTTGCAATTTTTTATGAATTTTTTGATTTTTTCAATTTTTTATTATTATTTATTATTATTTATTGTTGTTTTTTCAATTTTTAGTTAGTAACCTATAATATTGTGTCTAATTTTAAGTGTCATTAAAATCAAATGTTTTTAACTTAATAATATTAACATTTCTTAATTTGAAACAACAATAAATAATAATAAATAATAATAAATAATAATAAAAAATTGAAAAAATCAAAAAATTCATAAAAAATTGCAAAATAACCCTTTTTCGGGTTAAAATTGAAAAATAATAATAATAATAATAATAATAATAATAATAATAATAATAATAATAATAATAAAGAGTAAAATTACTATTTGCTTAAATGAAAATATTTTTCTATTGTTCTTATTTATTTATTTTTTGTTATTAAAAGAAAAAAAATATTTCGAGATATTCTGTGAAAAATATTCTTTAAAAAAAAAATGATATAAACCAAAGAGCAAAAAGTTATTAAAAGTCAAATTGAGACAAAAGTTTTAGAAAATAAATAAATATATATATATATATATATATATATATATTTAGGGAAATAAAATGATTTTCTGTTTGAGATTGAACTTTTTTAAAAGAGGTAAAGTATCCACATGGATATATCAGAATATAGCGAGTGAAAGAAAAGAGGGGAAATAAAAAGAAAAACGCTGAAACTGGCATTTCATCGGCTTGGAGAATAACGGCCCTTGGGTTTTTTTTTTTTGGTGACGAGGGGTAAAAAGGGAAAGGGGTGAGGAGGAGAGTGAAGGAGGGAAAAGGCAGTTTCTTGGCTATGTGCCAATGCCAACAAGTGTTTCATCCAGACTGAACCCAGATATTCTCTCCAATACCGCTTGTGTGCTGCTCTATCCATAAAAGCAGGACCACGAAACCGCAATTTAGTATACATGAAAAAGAAATCGCAAAAGCGTCACTTTGCGTACTTTTTGACAAACAATCGCTTTATTTTTCTTTTTTTTTTTATTATTATTCTCAATAACAATAAAAAAAAAATATTAAATAAATAAAACATTAAATTTGTAGTTTAATTTTAAAAAAAAAATCTTTTTTTAACTCACTGATTTAGGGGAAACGTTCTTTGAAATAAATTTTTCATTCATATAAAATGTCATAAAATTACGAGCAAAAAAAGGTTCTGATTAAAATATGATCTTTTAAGAAAATAAAAAAAGGGTTTTGTTTGACTAAAATTGACTTTTACTACTGATAGTTAAGTCTGACTTTAATAAACTTCAACTACTGTTGAGAACATTTTTGTCTGACTTTCGTTGTCTCTTACTTCTGGGACAAAAAAAAAATAAAACACAAAAACTTCTCTGCAAATCACTTTTTTTTTGTCTAATTTTTTTTTACGCATTAATTTTTAATTTTCATCTTTAAATAATTTTCTTTAAATAATAATTCCATTTCATTATTATTGTTATTTTTTAAATTATTATTTAATCAAATCTAAACGGATTTAATAAAAATTCAGAAATTTTCAATTAAATCGAAAAAACTGTTTAATAAAAGAAAAAAAATTCAACAAAATAAAATTAATACTAAAATTGAAATAATATTATTAAATAATTATATCAAATAGATATTAAAAATCGTTTCTGAGAAATATATATATATATATATATATTTGAAAGTATAATTACGAATAAGGGTGTATTATGCGAAAGATGTAATAAAAGGAAAATGAAAACTTGGAAGCCAAAAGGAGGTACATACTAAAATTATCTTAAAAATGTCAAGAAATATAAAGCTATCTGGTTAATTAAGAACTTAGAATTAAGGTTTTGTAAAATTAAGATGACTATGAAATTAAGACGTGTCTTCTGGGCACTGAGACATTCCAATTACAGGCAATTACACGTTCAATTTAATTATTAATTTAAGTCAGATTAAACTTTCAGGGTTTAAAGTTTCTCCATTTGCACATTGTCCAATTAAACGTTATAAGTGATTCACGTGGCAGGTTATTTCAAATTTATATAGAATAAAATTACTTGTCCACAATTGAATCTGACAAATGAATTTATCATTAGCCAAAAAAATAATTTATTAAATCAAAAAAATTTTTATGACAAAAAATATTGGAGACAATCAAATTTCCAAATTTTTTTTATTCCGCACATTTATTAAAAGAATCGATTTAAATATTCATTAAACATGAACTCAATGTAAAAATTCTATTTTAATATTTAGCTAAATTCTTTTCTTTAACCTTTAACGTCTTCCAAAAATCGAAAAAATAATTTATAAAAAAATACTATTTTTAACAATAAATAAATTAATAATTAAAATTAATTTCATGGGAAAAATTTAGTTGTATTAAAAAAAATTATTTCAAACCAAAATTTGTTGTAAATTTATTAATTTAAAAAAAATACAAAATGTTATCTTAATTTGTTAATTAACAATAAATTTTTGTGCAAAATAATTTTTTTTTTATGAAAAATTTTACAATTGGATATTTTAAAAAATTAAGTGAAATTAATTTTGATTAGTTTTATTTTTAAATAAAAAAAATGTTTAAAAAAGTATTTTCGAGTAATATGATTCGCTAAAAGTACTTTCGTTTATATATATTATATTCTTTTCTTGACACAGTGGATAATTTGGTGCTGTCGTAATTTGTCATTGGCTTTTTAGAACGAATTTTCTCAAGAGGAAACTCTCGCCCTCAAAAAATGGAGAAAAAAAAAAAACTTGAGAACAAACAGAAATTTTACTCTATACAGACAAGACCGACGCCAAATAAAAGATGGATGATAATTAATCTCCAATATTCTTGTCAATTGGAAAAATTATATTTTCTCAAAAAAAAAATTTGCAAACCTTTTTTTTTGCCAGCAAATATTTTTTTGCAAAAAAAATAGACTAGTATTTTTTTAATTCTACAAAAATAGAGTTTTCTATAAAGAATACAATAATTTTTTATTTTTTTTTTTTTTGAACAATACAACTTAGAAGACGTTTTTATTCAATTTGATTGAAAGTGGCGGGGGGAGGGGGGGGTGAAAAAAACGAAATCCTCTCAATGAAAGAAAGTTCACAGAAACTTTTTACTGATTCGAAGAATCGACATTATTCCCTCTGACCTAACGAACTCCACGGTTCCTTTCATGGGGCTTAACGGATCTCTCCATTTTTTTTTCTCTCTCTCTCTCTCTCTTTCTCTGAACCCAACCGTGTTTTTCTAAAGCAGGAAAATTGGTTTCATTTGACAGTTATTTATTTGCGTATATTTTTCTCATTTTTTTTTTTTTTTTGCATATATATTTTTTAAATAAAAAAAAAATTAAATTAAAAAAAAAGCTTTTCCACATGTTTAATGAGAAACATTTGTTCATGTAACAAAACAATTTTTTGTCTATATAACGAAACTGTTTTCCAATAATGAGGAAATTGTTTTTCAATATATATATATATTATATGGATAAAAGTGTTTTCCAATAAGGGATAAAAAAAATGTTTTTTTTTTTATTCTTTAAAAAACTAGAAGTAAAATTATGAAAAAATTTCTTATTTTCAAGTGATAAAAAAGTTAGTTTTTATTTAATTTTTAATAATACAGGAAAATTAATGTAAATTATTATTATGTAGGTACAATTTGTTTTTTTTACAAAATTTTTCTTTTTTGTTTCTATGAGATAATTTTTGTAAAATTGTTCCTCTTGACACTTTTTACTCACACAAATCTTTTGTGAAATGTTTCTTATTGTATATAAAAAGCGTATATGAAATATTTGACGGAAAAGTAAATGAAATATTTTACTGATTCATTTTAGTTTATACAATATTTTTCTTCAAAGAAAGAAGAAATGTAATTTAGTTTCAAAACATTTGAATATAAAGTCTTCTTTTATAAAGTGTCTTTCTCGATTGTTTTTGAATACTTTTTCTCTCTCTCTCTCTCTCTCTCTCTCCGGAGTTTCCTATATTTTATTGCTTAAACAATCGGCGGTTTCTAGTTTCATTCACATGAAGCACGACGAAGAGAAATATTGCAAAGTATCTTATATAAAAGGGGGAAAAAAAAGTTTTATCAGTCCTTTTAAAGCTCTTACCAAGTACAATTTAAAAAAAAAAAATTTTATTTAAGTTTCCAATAAAAAAAAATTGTTTAATAAATAATGTTAAAAAATTTTTTTTTTTTGATAAAAGAACTAAATAATAAAATAATTCAAAAAATTAATTATTACAATTAACTTTGGTAATTTGTTTATGAAAAAATATTTTTCACTTACTTTTCATTAATAATAATTTCATCAACAGTAATTCATTTTCATTTACTTTTCTTCTGAAAAAGAAAATTACAAAGAAAGAAACTTGAGTAAATAGCACTTTTAATAATAACAAACTCTCTTGATGTAAACTTAATGGATTTCTGTAGTGGTGTTCCTTTTAATAAATAACGTAATTAATTTTTAAATTGAATTTCAAGCTTTAAAAAGATTGTAGAAACACAAAAAAAAAAAAAATGTTCTTTTATTCATCAAAAAAATTTTTTTACATCTACATGTAAAGTTTGGGTTGCAGAAAAAATTTATTGCAAAAAGTTTTATACATTCACTCTATATAGCAGACTTTATACTGATAAATTATTATATGAAAAATTGTTAAATTAAAACAATTTCTTTCTTTTAAATTTCATTATTAATTATGAAAAAATTTTAAATTTTTCAACACTACTTATTAAATATTAGTAAATGTGAATTTATTATAGACTTAATAATTAATATAAATTAAATTACATTAAATTTATTAATAAATAATGTAATAATAAATACAACAAAATCGGGTAAAAAGAAAAAATTGCGTAATATTTCAACTCTTAAAAGCGATACTTTTATTACATATATCAAGAATCAGGGAAATATTGTGAATTTTATTTCACACTTTTATAGATATTACTGAACATAAAAATCAAATGAAGAATCACTTTTATGTGTGCTCATCATTTGAATTTGTTTAAGTTTTACAATATTTTTTATTACATTACGTTTGGAATTATTTTTAGAAATTAATACGCTATTTTGCTTTTTTTGCCTTTCGTATATTGAAAATAATTTTTTAACTAAAGAAAATTATTCATTTTTATTTTAAATGTTTTTTTTTAAATTACTTAAAAAAAATTATTAGGATCAGTTGGAGTAAATGGGGACAAAATCGCTATTTTTCACAAATTACATAAGTTTCTTCCTTTAAAAACGTAATAATTACGGATTTATTTTTTTTTAAGTTGTTATTTACATTCCCAGGATTAATTTTATGCAGGAGAAAAAAATTTAGATGAGCTTTAAACGCCTGTAATTGACTGTCCCCATTTACCTCAAAATTTAGAAACATAAAATTCGGGGTAAATGGGGACAGCATAGTTTCTACTCTCTAAATCTGAATTAGTAAAAAAGTTTACTAATTTGAATTAGTGACTCACTTTTTGCTTCTCAATTAGTAAAATTTTACTAATTATTAGTAACTTTAACTAACAATTAGTAAACATTTTTACTAATTCAGATTTAGAGAGTAAGAAAGTTTTCAGAAAAAAGTTTCCTTAAGTATATTATTGTATTATGGGATGAAAAAACTTGAAAAAAAATTTGTGGTAGATATATAATAGTTGAACCAATTGAAATTTTTTTATTTTTTTTTTATTTCAGTATTTTATCTCGCATTTGAAAAAAAACAGACTTAAAAATCATACCAAATTTTTTTCTTATTCCTTATGACTCCCATAAGAGAAATTCACTTGAATTTTTGATTTTTGTCAATTTGGTTAATAATGACAAGCTGTCCCCATTTGTCCCAAAAATTTGAAATCTCAGGGTAAATGGGGACAGCTTGTCATTATTAACCAAATTGCCAAAAATCAAAAATGCAAGTGAATTTCTATTATGGGAGTCGTAAGGAATAAGAAAAAAAATTTGGTATGATTTTTAAGTCTTTTTTTTAAATGCGAGACTAAATACCCTATATATTTTTTTTTTAATATAAAAAAAGATTTTTTTCCAAAAATTTTTTGAAAAAATTATTTTTCTATTTCATTTACAATAGAAAAAGGAGAATTTTTTTTTTACAATTTGTATTCGAATTCACTATATATATATATATATAGAGAGAGAGAGATTTTGTAGAAACTTGAAACTTTTATGTCTAATTTTAACAATTAATTTCAATAGTTGAAAGTTGTTTGTTCCTCGTGTAATTTTCACTTTTTGACTCTATAATTTACTAATTAATTAAAAAGTTGGCAAGTTTAATTCCCAGAATGCAGGAAGTTGAATGTAAACACTATTTCAACACAAAATAAACTCACCTCTAGGGCTTTACTCTCACGATTTTCCGGCACTTCTCTGAAAGCTGGAGAGTTTCACACGCACTTCACGTAACGAGTAATAACAGTTTTCAAACTTGAACTATATACGCGTCACACAAAACAAAAAAAAAAAAACAATGTGAAAGAACTATTAAAAACGGTTTTTTTTAACAGTTTCATAGTTTAAAAAAAAAATGAAACAAATAACTAAAAATAACTTCACAAAGTCACACACTTTTTAGACATAAAATTTTTTTTTTTTTTTTTTTTTTTTTTTACTGTTGTAATAAACACTAGTTTATTTGCGTTAATGTTTCATGTGAGAGGCTAATTCAGTTTTAACTTAGAGCAGTACACATTATCGGACAAGCGATACATGCCACTAATCTTGTTTATATCAAGCGAATGTTCGTAATTAGGAGAAAGAGGGGGGGGGGGATGAAAATTGCATTAATTATATTAGGCCAATGGTACACTTTACACTCCAATTTCTTCCGACAAATATCTAGAAAGAAAAAAAAAAATTTTATACCTCTTTAAAAATGTAAAAGTCACTTGTTTTAAAAGAACATTTCAACAATTTTTTTTTTATTCTTTACTACTTTTTATTATAGCCTGAAGAATAATGCTGGCTATAAAATTTTAAACTAAATACAAAAAGTTTCGCTAACTTTTTGCTAGAGAGAAAATATTTTCTTATTGAAACATTTTTTTGGGGGGAGAAAAAAATTGTGTTCTTTTTTTTCAGTTTCAATTACTTAGATAATTTTGTGATAAAAATTTATTTATTTTTTAGTTAAAATATATTTTTTGAGATTTAAAAGAAAAATTTTACTCTAAAAGTGTAAAATTCACTCTAAGGAAAAAATAAAACGAAGTGAAAAATCCCTTTCAAGATAGTAGGAATATTTTTATTTTTAAAGTGGAGTCAACACCAATAGTTTATTGTCTAAAAAGTGTCGAATTTACTCTCAAATTGTAAAATTCACTCCTAGAAGTGTACTTAATAGTTCTCTAAAAAGTTACAAATGTACTCTAAAATTTACTTCTAATATTCCAAAAAATCATATAAATCGATTCTAAAATTGTATGAAATTTACTCAAAAATGTGTGGAATTTACTCAGAAAAAGTGTAACAAAAGTACAAAATTGACTCTGATGGTAAAATATTAATTCACACTGGGAGTGAATTTTTACTCAAAAATTCAATTTTATTTCACTCCCATTGGATGAGATTTAAATTTTGTCTACATTCACTCCTATTGATAAATTTTCACTCTCGATGGAGTGAATTTCCACTCGGTGAAAAAAAATACAAGGTTTTTTTTTTTTTTAATTTAATTTTTAGTTTTTTTTTGTTAAAGAAGACAAAAATATTTAATTATTCTTTCTCTTATTTTTTAATTTTTATTATCCCTCATATTATTTAATGTAATTATTTGTTTACCTTAATTTTTCATTTCTATTCCTTTTTATAGTGCAAATTTTTTTTAATTTATTTGCATTTTCTAATTTTCTTTTCTATTTTAAACAGAAAAAAAAATTTACATTTACATACTTTGTTGTTCTTTTTTTTTTCGCCTAATCTTTATTTTTATTTTTCGTCCAGTTTTTGCGCACAGTGTTGTCTGTTTTCTTTTCCCTTTTCTTGTTTTAAATATATTGCATTTACACGCTTTGACCTGTTTTTAGGTTTTGTTTTTTTTTCCTTTTTTTACTTTTGTTTAGAGGATTTTTATTTTTTTCCCTGTATTTTTTTCTGAGGGGCTTTTTTATATGAATGATAACAAAATTATTTGATTACTCTCGACTAAAGTAAAAATAATTATTAATATTTAAAAACAAAGAAAAAAAAAAAATTTCCCCTACCTTTTACTATTAAAAAATAACTTTAATTTGCCATTACGATTGAAAGCACTCACTCAAGTTGGTTCATGAATAAAATCAGCAGAAAATGGAACTTGAAGATAAACTAATTTTTTTTTTTCTTCTTTTTTTTTCAAAAGATTTCTCGGTAACTTTAAAGAAAGTGTGTTTTGTTCTGAATTGCAGAAAAGAAGAGTCCAAGTCCGTATAATTAAATTCCCTTTGCCTGAGCGTAAATTAATTTCAACGTCTTCGGTGGAGAATAAAAAATTTTGCCATTTTCTTTTTTTCGCGAGACTACCAACATTTTCAAACGCAAAAGGCATAAAGATTCGCGGGCAAAAGAAGGTTCATTTTCTTTTTATCTCATCGTTTCTCTTTGCCAAAGCAATATTTTCTTAAACTCTCCCTCCAGAAAAAAAAGAAAAAAAAAAGAAAAAAAAAGTAAAATGAAAAAGAAAATCTCAAAGACACGCAAGCAATGCACTTTTGCCCTCGAAACGTAAAAAAAAAGCGATGCAATTATTTACATTTTGGTTTTATTTATATATATATTGTGAATCCATATATATCTATATATATATACACGTCCGAACTGCTTCCTGCATCCCGGAGAATACTGTCATTTTCAATTTCCCTGCAAAATCCTTCTTTTTTTTTTTTATTTTTTTAAAATTGCAATTGAAATCTAAATGTAAATAATTCAAATCAGAAACAATTTTAAATTCAAATAAAATAGAAATATATATATATATAAAATAGAATAAATTTATTTGAATAACTTTGAATTCGATTAGAAAATGTTTTTTCACTTTTTTTAAATAGAAATAAAATAAAAATTATTTTAATAAAAAAAATTTGAAAAAAAAATTTGTTAATTTGTAGAATAAAAAAATTTTTAATTTTTAAATTAGATTCCTCTTTGTGGCAATTTTTTTTTAAACCCATATAAAGGATAATATAATTGAATTGAAAAATAGTTGAAGGAACTTTGAAACATGAAAATTGATATGCGCGAACGAAATTCAGGTAAAAGAGGATCAAAAGACGAGGGGATTTTTCCTATACGATAGTATAACACATGAAGAACTTTTTTAGTGAGAAACTTCACTTAAAACTTTACGCTACAGTTGTTTTTCGATTCGAGTTGGCATGCCAAGGCATTGAAAATACGCGACATCTGTTACTTTGCATGCAAAAGCATAGAAGCATGCGTTACCAAAAAAAGTTGAATACAAAAAAAAAAATTGAAACATATATATTTGTATATATATATATATATATATAGAAGGGGAAAGAAAAAGAAAAATTCGATTCAATAATATTAGAGACACGATTTTTACGTAAATTCACAAAAACAATAATCCTGTTATGTTTGTCAATTTCAATTCGCTATTATTTTACGCTCTTCAAATAAGAAACTGAATCGGACAGGTGGTTTCGCTCTTGCATTTATTCTGTCAATTTTTTTTTTCCACACACCTTGAAACTCGATTTTTAATTACTTTTATTTATTTTAAATAATTATTTTTTATTTTAATTTTTTATTTTTTATTAATTATTTATTGTTGTTCATTTTTTTTTATCGGTTAAGATTTTTTTTTTTTTATTTTACTTAATATTTATTTGCAATTTTTCGGAAAAGTATAATATTTTTTTTATTATATAATAAGAAATATAATTATAATTATAATTATATAATAAGAAATATTATAATTAAACATTTTTCGTTTTTGTAAATAAATAAATTAAAAATATTTTATTAAATAGTAATTATTATTTTTACTATAGAATAAATAAATAAACTATCTGAATTTTAGGGGTATTAAATAAATTATTTTTATTATCAAAACTAATAGGTGTTAAATTTTTTTTTTTCATTTACAAGTTAACGGGACGAAGTTAATTTAGTGTCAAAATTGATATCATTTTTTTAATTAGAAATATTTATTTTCTCTAATCGCTAAGTAATTGTTATTGTTATTTTAAATTATGAAAAAATTTTTTTTTGCTTGTCTCATAATAATTCTAAAAACCTACTTTTAAAAATTATTTTAATTTTTTAATAATTATTAAATATTAATATTTTTATCATACTAAAGGACTATTTAGAATTGCATAAGTTCTCAAATCACACTTTTGAAAGAAAATTTTTTTTATTTTTATTTCATTTGACTATATTCATTTATAAATTTTTTTTTCTCTTTTGTCATTGAACACAATTTTTTTCTCCTAATTATTATTCACATAAATACTAATTACCCTTTTGTTTTAAATTGCAATTTTGTCCAAAAAAAACGTAATTATGATAATAAAATTAAATAAATTAATTATTAATTTAATTAATTACAAAATTAAATATTTATGCTAATTTAAATATCATTTTTTTTTTTTGTAAATAAATTTTATTTTTTGAAATGAAAAAATAAAAAAGATAACACTATGAAAAAAAAAAAAGTTGATAGTTATTGAAATTGTTTTTTCTTATATTGAGGGATAAAAGAGAGTGAGAGAGAGAGAGAGAGTCGAAAACTGGACTTATCACGAAGGGATGCCGAAGAGTGAACCGGAGATCCGGAGTACCGTGTTAGTACTGGAGTTTCACATGAAAGAGTACTGGAAGCTTGCAAAAGGGGGGGGGGGGGGTGGTGGGGGTTAGAGGGGGGGGGTAGCAGCCCCTCTCGACCACTGATTCTCCGCTCTTGAGAAGAAGCGCACGCGCTTCTCTCGCAGGATTTTCCCCGTACTTAAACATTTTTTTTTCCTTTCCCTCCTTATAGAGTAGAAAAGACCGGGGCTTTTCAATATAACCACAATGCGCTTGGATTTTTTTCGTATCGAACAAGAGAAAACGAAAAATCCTCCTTTAACACGGGATGAAAAAAAAATTATAATTTCTGACTAGCGTCTATATATATATTATATACAGATAAAAGGTCTCGTTTTTTTAAAAACATTCTTTCATTATATTCGACAATGAATAAATATTCGGGGGATATTTTTTTCTCTGAAAATTTTTATTTATTTCTTTTGAAGGCATTTTTTTTCATCATTTTTGAGAATTTTCATTTTTTTTAAATGCTAAAAATGGTTTTGGTCAGACGGTAAAATTCAGTTAACTATTTTTGAGTTTTAAGTAGTAAAAACGTTTTGGTGAGACAAAAAAAATCGAATATCGTATTTTTTCAAGTAGCAGAAAAAAATTATGGTCAGACTGAATCAAATTTTAATTATTTTTAAGTAGTAAATATATTTTTTGATCAGACGTAGTAAACTTTATATTTTTTATTCTTAAGTAGTAGAAGAAGTTTTTAGTCAGACAGAAAAATTTAATAAAGTATTTTTAATTTTTAAGTAGTATAAACGTATTGGTCAGACAGAAAAATTCAATTTTTTAATTTTTAAGTAGTAGAAGAAGTTTTTGGTGAGGCAGTAAAATTCAATATCGTATTTTTATTTTAATTAATTTTAAATAGTAAATATATTTTTTGGTCAGACGTAGTAAACTTTATATTTTTTTATTTTTAAGTAGTAGAAGAAGTTTTTGGTCAGACAGAAAAATTCAATATATTATTATTTTTTAGTAGTAAGAAAAGCAACGGTCAGACGGAATCAAATTTTAATTATTTTTAAGTAGTAAAAAAGTTTTGGTCAGACAATAAAATTTAATAAAGTATTTTTAATTTTTAAGTAGTATAAACGTATTGGTGAGACAGAAAAATTCAATATTTTTATTTTTAAGTAGTAAGAAAAGCTACGGTTAGACGAAGTAAACTGTAGTTTTTTATTTTTAAGTAGTACAAAAATTAATGGTCAGACTGAATCAAATTATAATTATTTTTAAGTAGTAAATATGTTTTTTGATCAGACGTAGTAAACTTTATATTTTTTTTATTTTTAAGTAGTAGAAGAAGTTTTAGTCAAACAGTATAATTCAATATATTATTATTTTTAAGTACTAAGAGAAGCTATGGTCAGACTGAATCAAATTTAATTATTTTTAAGTAGTAAAAAAAGTTTTGGTCAGACAGTAAAATTTAATAAATTATTTTTAATTTTTAAGTAGTAGAAGAAGTTTTTGGTGAGGCAGTAAAATTCAATATCGTATTTTTATTTTAATTAATTTTAAATAGTAAATATATTTTTTGGTCAGACGTAGTAAACTTTATATTTTTTTATTTTTAAGTAGTATAAGAAGTTTTTGGTCAGACAGAAAAATTCAATATACTATTATTTTGTAGTAGTAAGAAAAGCAACGGTCAGACGGAATCAAATTTTAATTATTTTTAAGTAGTAAAAAAAGTTTTGGTCAGACAGTAAAATTTAATAAAGTATTTTTAATTTTTAAGTAGTATAAACGAATTGGTCAGACAGAAAAATTCAATTTTTTTATTTTTAAGTAGTAACAAAAGCTACGGTTAGACGAAGTGAACTGTAGTTTTTTATTTTTAAGTAGTACAAAAATTTATAGTCAGACGGTGTCAAATTATAAATATTTTTAAGTAGTAAAAATATTTTGATCATAGAAAAAAAATTCAAAATGGCAAATTTTAATTTTTAAGTAGTAAGAAAAGCTATGGTCAGACGGAATCAAATTTTAATTTTTTTAAGTAGTATAAAAAATTTTGGCCAGACGAAGTAAATTTTATAGTTTTTTATATTAAAGTAGTAAAAGAAGTTTTAGTCAGACAGTATAGCTCAATATAGTTTTTTTTATTTTTAAGTAGTACAAAAATTTATGGTCAGACGGAATTAAATTTTAATTCGTTTTAAGTAGTAAAAGAAGTTTTGATCAGACGGAATCGAATTTTAAAGAATCTTTTAAGTAGTAAAAAAAATTTTGATCAGATGAAATGGAATTTTGATGTATTTCATTTTTTAAGTAGTAAAAGAAAGTTTAGTCAGACATAATCGAATCTTTCAATTTTTTTACATTGTAATTGTAATTGCTAATTATTACATTTGTTAATAACTTACTTTCTTTATTGTTAATTAATTAAATTATTAGTTATTAATTAAAATTATTGAAAATTATTAAAAAATTATTGAAAATTATTAAAAAATGATTGAGAATTATTAATAATTAATAAAAATTATTAAAAATTAAAAGAAAAACAAAGCAATTTAGTCTCAAAATCTTTAATATCATTCACAATTGTAATATCTGGTTTTAAAGCATATAAATCAACATTGAATTTTTTTTTTCCTCTATCCTCCCTCTTTTTTAGGTCAATCCTGACAGAATTTAACTGCCCCACACACACAAAATCAATCATTTTTGACGATACAAAACCATATATTAATAATCGTGAATGGTTTTTTTTTTTTTTTCTAAAAATATTTTATAATTGCATTTTTATTATAAAAATGTCCATTAGAATTTTTCAATAGTCAATAAATATATGAATATTTTAAATATTTATTGAATTTTTAAAAATAAATTTACCTTTATATATATACATAAATTTACACATTCATTTTTTAGTTTTAAAAATAATGTGAAAAGTTTTGAAAAAAAAATTTATATAACTTCTATTATTCTTATAAACTTCATTGCAAATAGAAACTTTCTGTAATCGAAAGTCATAATTTTTCGAAAAGCAATTATTAATATTAATTTCCATTGTGCAAGTGCCAACATTCTTCGATGATAAAATCGTGCTCGTGAATTACAAAACCGAACATTCGGACTGTGAAGGGATAACGAGTACGAATAGTTTTTCTTTTTTTTTTTTTTTTTTGAGTTTCTGCTGAAAAGGTGAGAGAGATTAAAGATTAAAGATTGATTAAAACGCGATTCAAGCCTGAGAATAATACTTTATTACTAGATTGAATCTCGCTTTTTAATAAGTCCCTCGAAAACGAGATTCAAACAATAGAAATGAAAAATAATCCGCAAAAATTCAATTTTCTAAAGATTGTTTTATAATTTTTTTTGTTTATTGATTACATTTTAGAAAACTAAAATTAGTTTCACAAAGAACTGTTTTTTAGTTTCTTATATGTAAAAAATGATTTTTCAAATTTTTTTTTCCCTAAACAAAATAATATACACAAATATTAATCTAAAAATAACTAAATTAACCAAAAAAATACAATTTTCGTTTAAAAAAAAAAAAAAAACATATGTACTTTAGACAAAATAAAAAAAAAAAATATTTTCGAATGAGGTTAACTGGTTGGTTTGCATGCGATGCTAAATCATTCCTGGAAACATGACGAGTCGTCTTTAGGTTTCTCCGTGAAAGTAAGCGGAAATAAATAAATAAAAACAGAGATTTACGAGTTGGTGATTCTAAATCTCATCCTTGAAATGCTCGTTTTTTCACATTTTGTTTTTTTTAGCTTTTTTTCTCATTCTCCCTTTAAAAAAAAAAATCCCCTTAATATTTTTTTTTTTTTTTACATCATTATAAAACTAAAATTCAGTGTTGTAATTTTCTAAATAGAGCTTTTTACCACTTCACTGGAAATTTATCTCCTGTTCTTTTCTTTTTCATTTAAAAATTATGTGAAAAAAATAACTAACCTACAAAACCAATTGCAATTTTAAACCGACAAGAATAGCAAACTTTAATTAAAAAAAAAAAAAAAAAAAAAAAAATGATAATAATAATAATAAAAAACACATAGCTTGCATTTTTCGAGTGGAAAAGAACGACGCGAGTAATTCAATAACTGTTTTCCAATTATACATAACATTGCGTTATAACATTTGTTTTATATATATATATATTAAAAGTGATGCACAGTGAAAATTTAATAGTGTCTAATTAAGATCGAATATCTGATGTAAATATTAATTAATATTGCAATTGGTTGCACATACAACGATGCAAACGTGCCAAATGGTATTCTCTTAATTGATCATTAAACAACAAGACCAATTAGATTAAAAACGCTGTATTTGTCTTATTTTTTAAATTTTATTTACCATAAAACATCGTCATTTAATTTTTTTCTACAAGAGGAAAAAAAAAGGAAAATTTCAAACGATTCAATTATATAAATATAACTAAAAATCAAACGAATAATTTCCAGCCAATTAGATTTTATACTCAAAATTATTTTTCCCCAAAAAAAAATATATTTTTCCATTAAAAATTCTTTGAAAAAAATATTTTTGTTTATATTAAAAGAAAATGTCTTTTAAAAAAATTTTTTCCAATAAAATTTGTTATCAGCTATTTTTTTTAAATTACTTTAATTAAATACATTTTTGACAATTTTGTTTATACGAAAAGAAGAGGTTATCTTTAAAATAAGATCGAGTGCATTTTTTTTCTGTTATGTTGACCTTTTATCGAGTGTCAAGCGAAATTTCTCGTTTGCTTTACAATAAAGTGCCGTAGAATAGCTGAAAGACGCTTCGATAAATAAAGTCTCTTTTTCACATTCTGATATTACTTTTTTTTTGCAACAAAAAAAAAAAGGTTTTTCAATCTTTGAAATATTGTCAAAAAAAAGTATCTTTTTTTTAATCAAAAAACTCAATATCCTTTTTTTTAATTTTCAAAAATAAATAGAAAATCAAAAAATAATAAATTTATCAAAATTTTATATTTGATAACAATATTTTAATTTATCTTGTAAAATTAATGAAAAATTTATTATTACTTCTTTTTTGTATCTTGAACAATTTTTTTTTTAATTAAAATAATTAATTCAATTCATTTAAATATATTAATATTGTGATAAAAATAAATGAGACAGAATATAGAGGGAAAAAAAAGGTGGGTTTTATTTAATAAAGTGAAATTTCTTTTTTTTTTATGAAAATGAATCGTATAATTAAAGGATTTTTATTTTTGTAATTAACTCTTTAAATCCATGGTTTTCCGCCTTTACCTGGTTTGTCGACGAGATTAAAATACAAATTAACGTAATTAGAGGAAATCCTTTCACGCTTGGTATCTGGTAAAAGAATTTCTTCGTCATCATGTTCGATTCCTATCGCAATATCTGGATCGCATTTCATGTAAAAGAAGTAAGGTATTTCCTCGTGTGTATAAACCATTTCTGTTTTCATCACATCTCTATCCAACATTTCATTTTTAGCCTAATGAAAATGAAGTCTCATAAATTTTATTAGAAAAAAAGTTAATAGAATTTTTTTTTTTAATTAATATTTACAATTTTACGAATTTTTAATTTTTTAAATACAAATTTTTAAAATACTTTGAAAAAATGCAAAAAACTGTAAAGAAAATAAAAATAAAGAATACAAAGAAAATAAATGTAAAGAATAGGAAAAATGATAATATTAATAAATATTAAAAATTAAATATTGATAAACAATACAATGTAGAAAAAATTGTTCGATTATAGTAAATTTATAATTTAATTTGTTTAGGTAAATCATTTTTTTTTTATTTTCATAAAAGATGACATTTTTTCATACCCTTTTTCCAGTTTCTAACCAGTGACGATAATAGGATCTATATATTGTCGCCTTATGGCGAACGTCCAAGATCAACTTCTTCATTTCTTCCTCATTTTCAGGGATCGGTATAATCTGAAAATTTAAATTTATGAAATTTTTTTTCTTATTTATTGATTTAAAATGAAAAGGAAATTATTGAATATACTTTTTGAGTAGTGAAATCAGTTTTTAGTCAGACTCATTTAACCTAATAGTTTAAACAAATTTTTAACTAGTAAAAGAAATTTTGGGCAGACGGCATAGAATTTAGAAGGATTTTTTTAGCAGTAAATTTTTTTTTGATCAGAAAGAATGGAATTTAGAAGTATTTTATTTTTTAAGTAGCAGAAGAATTTTAGTCAGACAGAATCGAATTTAAGTTATTTTTAAGTAGAAAAAGAATTTTTTGGTTCAATTGTGTAAATTTTACATTTAAAAAAATTTTAAGTAGTAAAAAACGATATGGTCAGACATAATTTAATTCTGATGATTTTTCAGTAGTACAAAAATTAATGGTCAGACGGAACAAAAGTTTAATTATTTTTAAGTAGTAAAAAAAACTTTTGGTCAGACGAAGTAAACTGTAATTTTTTATTTTTAAGTAGTACAAAAATTAATGGTCAGACGGAATCAAATATTAATTATTTTTAAGTAGTAAAAAAAGTTTTGGTCAGACAGTAAAATTTAATAAAGTATTTTTAATTTTTAAGTAGTATAAACATATTGGTCAGACAGAAAAATTCAATATTTTTATTTTTAAGTAGTAAGAAAAGCTATGATCAGACGAAGTAAACTGTAGTTTTTTATTTTTAAGTAGTACAAAAATTAATGGTCAGACGGAATAAAATGTTAATTATTTTTAAGTAGTAAATATATTTTTTGATTAGACGTAGTAAACTTTATATTTTTAATTTTTAAGTAGTAAAAACGTTTTGGTCAGACAGAAAAATTCAGTATTGTATTACTAATTTTAAGTAGTAAAAAAGGCTATAGTCAGACGGAACAAAAGTTCAATTATTTTTAAGTAGTAAAAAAAACTTTTGGTCAGACGAAGTAAACTGTAATTTTTTATTTTTAAGTAGTACAAAAATTAATGGTCAGACGGAATCAAATATTAATTATTTTTAAGTAGTAGAAGAAGTTTTTAGTCAGACAGAAAAATTTAATAAAGTATTTTTAATTTTTAAGTAGTATAAACATATTGGTCAGACAGAAAAATTCAATATTTTTATTTTAAAGTAGTAAGAAAAGCTATGATCAGACGAAGTAAACTGTAGTTTTTTATTTTTAAGTAGTACAAAAATTAATGGTCAGACGGAATCAAATATTAATTATTTTTAAGTAGTAAATAAATTTTTTGATCAGACGTAGTAAACTTTATATTTTTTATTTTTAAGTAGTAGAAGAAGTTTTTGGTCAGACAGAAAAATTCAATATAGTCTTATTTTTAAGTAGTAAGTAAAGCTATGGTCAGACGGAATCAAATTTTAATTATTTTTAAGTAGAAAAATAATTTTTTGGTTCAATTGTGTAAATTTTACATTTAAAAAAATTTTAAGTAGTAAAAAACGATATGGTCAGACATAATTTAATTCAGATGATTTTTAAGTAGTAAAAAAAGGTTTGTTCAGACAGTAAAATTGAATAAAGTATTTTTAATTTTTCAGTAGTAAAAACGTTTTGGTCAGACAGAAAAATTCAGTATTGTATTACTATTTTAAGTAGTAAGAAAGGCTATAGTCGGACGGAACAAAAGTTTAATTATTTTTAAGTAATAAAGAAAACTTTTCGTCAGACGAAGTAAACTGTTATTTTTTATTTTTAAGTAGTAATAGAAGTTTTTGGTCAGACAGTTAAATTCCATATAGTATTAAAAATTTTTAAGTAGTAAAAATGTTTTGGTCAGGCAGTAAAATTTAGTATCGTATTTTTATTTTTAAGTAGTACAAAAATTAATGGTCAGACGGAATCAAATTTTAATTATTTCAAGTAGTATAAAAATTTTTTGGTCAGACGAAGTAAACTTTCTATTTTTAATTTTTAAGTAGTACAAAAATTTATAGTCAAACGGTAACAAATTGTAATTATTTTTAAGTAGTAAAAACATTTTGATCAGACAAAACAATTCAAAATAGTAATTTTAATTTTTAAGTAGTAAGAAAAGCTATAGTCAGCCGGAATCAAATTATAATTGTTTGTAAGTAGTAAAAGTAGTTTTTGTTCAAACAAATTAAACTTTATAGGATTTTTTATAATTTTAGAGTAGTTAAAGAAGTTTTGATTAGACGGAATCGAATTTTAAAGGATTTTTTAAGTAGTAAAAACATTTATGATCAGACAAAATGGAATGTTGCAGTATTTCATTTTTTAAGTAGTACAAGAAAATTTAGTCAGACAGAATTGAATCTTTTAATTTTTTACTTTGTTCAAAAGGATTTGGTTAGACAATAAAATTATAAAGAATTTATATTTCTTCAGTAGTAAAGAAATTTTTGGTGAGACAGAAATACAAGTGTTATTTTTTTTTAACTATAGAATAGAATTTTTTTTGTCATTTAATTTTTCTGCATTAGTCAAAAATAACTAATTTTTCATAAATATACAATTTTCTTCCTTTTCACAATTAGTAAACAAAATTACTAATTATTAGTAAAAAAATTTACTAATTCTTACTAATTTTACTACAATTAGAGTAAATTGAGAATAAAAAATTAATGCGTAAAGAAAGAAAAAAAAGTTGTAACGCAGCGGAAATAAACTGTTTAAAACTCTATATGAGAGTTGCAATGGAACATTAGAACCCACACCAGGAAATTTAATAGCACATTGGAGGAAAGAAGCGACCGAATGACTTGGCAATTCTTTGGTTGGCGGGGGGTGGGGGGAAGGGATACGCGCGAGGGGATAACCTCGATTGAGACCTGCTTGTACAAGCTCCAGTGGTTCGCGACTATAACAAAAGGATTATTGCGAGATAATAAAAAAAAAGAAAAGAAAAAGAACGACGAAAAAAAAAATTGCAAAAAAATTAAAAAAAAAAATGAAAAGAAAAGAAGACGTAACCGATTGTTATATAAAGTACTTTGACTTTTTTTCGATTATTCTTCTTCTTTTCTCTCATCATCATTTTGTCAAACTCATTGATTGGTTTCCATGACACTCCAATGGGCCAGGTATATTCATCTTTATTTTTATCCTCTTGATTTATTTTTTCCCCCTCATCATTATTATTATTATTATTATTATCATTATCATTGTCAATTTGTTCTGCCATTTCTTTCGCTTTGTCATCGACAATCTTTTTTTCTTCATCACTAATATCTTTAGTCACATTATTTGCATTCGATGTCAATTCAATGTTTGTAGTTAATTTCTCAAACTGTATAGTATCTTGTGAACTGTCTACATTCATTGATTTTGCTTTTAAATCATGTTGAGAATTCTCTTGTAATTTTGTATTTTCATTCGTTGATGCTTGTTTTTCTGTAAACATTTATTGATTGTTTATTATTTGTGGCATTTATTATTATTATTAGTATTACTATTATTATTATTATAATAATAATAATAATTATTAATATTATTATAATTATTATTATTATTATTATTATTTTTTTTTTTTACTCTTATAATTATTATTATTATTACAATTATTATTAATATTATTACTATTTTTTATTATTGATTACTTATTTATTTATTATTTATTATTGGCATAGACTACTTAGAATTTTTCTAATTCAATATAAATTTTTAGTAGACACGGACTTTTTATTTTATTAAATTTCTAATAAGGGTCAATCCATTATATTTCGACTGAAGTGGTCGCTGACTAATTTTTAAAAATTATAATACTTTGCAGGAATGATTTTGAAGTTATCAAGATCACGAAATGAAAAGAATTTTATTAAAATTTTAATTATTTATTGCAAAATATGACTTTAAAGTATATGAGGTGCTGAAAACTGTCAATTTTTTAGCCATTAGAAAATATGCAAAAATACGTAGAATTTACCATAAAAATAAAAAAAAATTTTTGTAATTTACTAAGAATGAATAAATTTATCATTATCAATTGATGTAATTATTTAAATGTGTGAAATAATATATAAAATATGATTTTCAAGTCCGCCTGTCAAATAACCTAAATTTGCAAATTTCATCTATTAAATGTGAGAAAGAGAAGTCATTAAATTGAAAAAAACCTTACCAAATATAAAGTACCTGTGACTAACTTTTAGTTTTTCTTAGCACTTTTTTCCTTTTTTCTTCATAAATGTGAAATAAAAAGCAATAAAAATTGGCACTTTGCTTATTTTCACTATTTTCAAATGTAAATAACTTTCTTGGAGAAAACTGAAAAATTACAAAACTTGGGCAATATCTAATTGATCACTAAATACACACACTGGAAAAAAATTCGCTTTGGTCCCGAAGATACTATTTGAGATAATTAAGTTTAAATTTTTCACAATTTTTATGAGGTTAATGCATGTGATTTTTATAAAATTGAAGTTAGTTCAAAATATTTAACCAATAAAACCTAACTTCGTCCTTAAAAAACTACATGTATTAACCTGATAAAAATTGTGAAAAGTTTAAACTTAATTATCTCAAAAAGTATCTTCGGGACCAAAGCGAATTTTTTTCCAGTGTGTGTAGTTAGTGATCAATTAGATATTGCCCAAGTTTTGTAATTTTTCAGTTTTCTCCAAGAAAGTTATTTACATTTGAAAATAGTGAAAATAAGCAAAGTGCCAATTTTTATTGCTTTTTATTTCACATTTATGAAGAAAAAAGGAAAAAAGTGCTAAGAAAAACTAAAAGTTAGTCATAGGTACTTTATATTTGGTAAGGTTTTTTTCAATTTAATGACTTCTCTTTCTCACATTTAATAGATGAAATTTGCAAATTTAGGTTATTTGACAGGTGAACTTGAAAATCATATTTTATATATTATTTCACATATTTAAATAATTACATCAATTGATAATGATAAATTTATTCATTCTTAGTAAATTACAAAAAAATTTTTTTATTTTTATGGTAAATTCTACGTATTTTTGCATATTTTCTAATGGCTAAAAAATTGACAGTTTTCAGCACCTCATATACTTTAAATTCATATTTTGCAATAAATAATTAAAATTTTATTAAAATTCTTTTCATTTCGTGATCTTGATAACTTCAAAATCATTCCTGCAAAGTATTATAATTTTTAAAAATTAGTCAGCGACCACTTCATTCGAAATATAATGGATTGACCCATAAGAAAAAAGTTCTATAGTCAGACAAAGTCCAATTCTTCAGTAGAAAAAATTATTTTAGTCAGACGCAGACAAAATTTCGAGTGGAAAAAATTATTTTACTAAGTTTTTGAGTAGAAAAACGTGATTTAGTTAGACAGTAAGATTTTAAGTAAAAAAAAGTGGTTTTGGTCAGACAAAACCCATTTTTTCAGTAGAAAAAGTAATTTTGATTAGACAGTAAGTTGTTTACTTCAAAATTTGTTCAAAAAACCAAATTTCAATTTTCAAACTGATTAAAAGAAGTCTTGGTAAATTTAATTTTCAATAGTTTAAGATATTTTAGTAAATTTTAGTGTAAAATAAGTTTTGTAAATTTTTCAGTAGAGAAACCATTTTTAGTCAGACAGAATTCAATTTTTGATTAGAAAAAAATGTCGTTAGTCAGACGGAGGCAAATTTTCGAGGGAAAAAAATTATTTTACTATTATTTTGAGTGGAAAAACTCGTTTTTGTCAGACAGTAAGTTTTTAAGTAGAATAAGTGGTTTTAGTCAGACAAAATCTATTTTATCAGTAAAAAAAAATTTTAGTGAGACCATTTCAAATTTTCGAGTGGAAAAAAATATTTCACCTGAATTTGTTCACCTGAAACAGCGATAAGTTTCAATGTAACAGCTATACGTTTCACTAAAACGTAGAAAATTTTCGCTATTCTAGACAAACATATATCGCTGTTTCAGATAAACTTTTTTTTCCGTGTTTTTATAAGTTTTTAAGTAGAAAAAATGGTTTTAGTCAGACAGTAAGTTTTTAAGTAGAAAAAGGGGTTTTAGTCGGACAATGGAAAATTTTCGAGTGGAAAAAAATTATTTCATTATTTTTTGAGTAGAAAAACTTGTTTCAGTCAGACAGTAAATTTTTCAGTAGAAAACCCATTTTTAGTGAGACAGAATTCAATTTTTGATTAGAAAAATTGGCATTAGTCAGACGGAGGCAAATTTTCGAGTGAAAAAAATTATTTTACCATGATTTTGAGTGGAAAATCTCGCTTTTGTCAGACAGTAAGTTTTTAAGTAGAATAAGTGGTTTTAGTTCTCAAACAGCGAAAAGTTTCAATGTAACAGCTATACGTTTCACTAAAACGTAGAAAGTTTTCGCTATTCTAGACAAACATATCGTTCTTTCAGGTAAACTTTTTTTTCCCGTGTTTTTATAAGTTTTTAAGTAGAAAAAATGCTTTTAGTCAGACAGTAAGTTTTTAAGTAGAAAAAGGGGGTTTTAGTCGGACAGTGAAAAATTTTCGAGTGGAAAAAAATTATTTCATTATTTTTTGAGTAGAAAAACTTGTTTCAGTCAGACAGTAAGTTTTTAAGTAGATAAATTTGTTTTAGTCAGCCAGCAAGTTTGCATAAAAGATTTCTATCTCTATTTTTTAAATCCAAATATGAATATCGAGTGCTGGTTATAGAAAAAGTGCAAAATGAGTAAGGATTATAAAGCCTCAAGTGTGGTGGAAGGGTGGGGGGGGTTGAAATTTGAATGATCAGAGTAAATTGGATGATAATGAAATGAATCTTTCACGCCTCTAATGGAGAAAAGCTGCTAGCAACAGTTGCGATATGCAGGCAGATCTGCAGATTGCTGGCTATGGTTCAGCGCAGGATTTACCGTGGTTTGTGGAATCTTCCATTTGCTAGCTCGATTCTCCTAAATTGATTAATCACCATTCGATAGCGAGAGAGAGAGAGAGAGAGAGAGAGAGAGAGAGAGAGAGAGAGAGAGAGAGAGAGAGAGAGAGAGAGAGAGAGAGAGAGTTGGCAAACGTGTTAAGCATCGCTAGTATAGTATATATGTATATGGAGAATTTGAACACTGGGATACAATCTATGAGGACGTAAATATAACCATACCGACGCAAATACACTTACTTGTATATACATTGTACATTCATTGAGAAAGACCTTTCTTTTAGTGATAAATTGAACAAAATTTTAATTTCCATTCAAAAGCAACGGGGACGCTCAAATCCCAGTGCATAATAAAACCATTCAACTTATTTCTAAGTAGATAATAAAGATTAGGGACTATTTTTATTAGAATTTAAAATTGTTTTTACATTTTCACGACAAAATCTAATTTTTAAGTAGAATAAACTGTTTTAAGTCAGACTTGATCAAATTTTTTAAGTGAAATAAATTTCTTTAAAGTTCTATTTTTAAGTAAAATAAACTGTTTCAACGAAATCTAATTTTAACTAAAATAAGTTGTTTTAGTCAGACAAAATTGAATTTTTTTTTGGAATAAATTTTTTTCACTCCACTTTTTCCATCAATTATTTTCCAGCTAAAAATTAAAGTCAAAAAATCAATTTTCGTTAAGAAACTTGAAATTATACGAAAAAAAAGTTATGAAAAAAAAAACCCTCCATAAATATATTTTATACATGAGAAATAAAATAATAATAATAATAATAATAATAATAATAAAATATAAGAAAAGTGTCGAAAAAATTGGACATTTTTACGATGAGGCTGCGAAAGAGAAAGTCGAAATAAATCAAGAAGAAACTTTCTTGAACCGCACATTTGTTTTTTTTTCTTTTTTTTAAACTCAATAATTCATGATACACATTGAAAAGTTTTCGATAAATTTCACAAGATATTTTTTACCAAAATAAAAAAAAAAATATACTTCCATAAGGTATTTTAGAAAATTCTTGTACTTTTGATACTAGTCTTATATCATGATAAAATATCCTTAAATAAGAGAGTAAAAGTGTCTTCAGAAAACCGGAAGTGTATATATATACACATATATATTCCCATGTGGTAAAAGCATGAATATGAAAGAGGGGTGATAGTCGATGAATTATTTCTGAAAGCTACTCAAGAGTTTCACACCGTGCCTTTTTCTATATATATATATATATATATATATTGCATCAGAAAAAAAGAGAGAGAAAGGGATTTTGCGTCGCGCACTTGGAAAACTTCCTCTCCCTCAGTTCGACCAAGTGAATGTTCCATTAACAACTTTCAGCTCAAGAAACCGCATGAGCGAGCAAGGAGCAATTTTCGAGTTAAGATTTTTCCACACCAGACATACAAAGCATGAAACTCACGCAGTAAAATTTTCACATCCCACACTCTCATCTTAACTTAGCTTTTTCCAAACTTTTTCACTACACCCTCCTTCGCATGAAAAAAAAAGGAAAAAATTACATTTCCCTGTATCAAAGTGAAACTTCTAAACAATTTAGAATGACATTTGTATTCTTTTAGGAAAGTTCAATATTTGTTTTTGTATTTTTCTTACAAGTTTATGAATTTTTTTTTCTTTTTTATTTCGTAAAAGTAGAAAAAGAAAACTATCGAATTTTCTCGTCAGACAGAATCAATTTTTTTAGAAAGGAAAATTTTTTTTTTATCTAATATAATTTAATTTTAAATAGTGGGGAAAATTTTCCAGTCAAGGAAAGTCGAATTTTTAAGTAGAAAAATATTTTTTTGTCCGACAATGACGGATTTTTAAGTAGAAAAATTTTTCCGACTGAACAAAGTCAGATTTTAAGTGGAAAAAACTACTTTTAGCCAGACAGAATTTTACAAAGTTGTATTTGTCAGTGGAAAATATTTTTTGTTAATCGCAAATCGAATTTTAAAGTAGAAAAAGTTTTCCGACCAAACAAAGGTTGAATTTTCTAGTGAAAAAATTTTCCAATCATACAATACAAGATTTAAAGTAGAAAAGTGTTTTTTAGTCAGACATAGTCTGACAATGTCATAATTGTAAGTAGAAAATATTTTTTGGTCATCCAAAGTCAAAATCTCAGGTAGAAAAAATTTTCCAACCAAACAAAGGTCGAATTTTCTAGTAGGAAAATTTTCCAGTCATACAAAATAAGATTGAAAGTAGAAAAAGTATTTTTTTATCAGACAGAGTCTGAAAAAGACATATTTGTAGGTAGAAAATGTTTTTTGATCAGAGAAAATCGAATTTTTCAAATAGAAAAAGTTTTCCGATAAAAAAATTTAAATTTCTAAGTGGAGAATTTTTTTTTGTACAGCCAAGGTCGGATTTTTGACAAGAAAAAATTTTTTGGTCAGACAAAGGTAGATTTCTAAGTAGAAAAATATTTTTTGGTCATCCAAAATCGAAGTTTCAAGTAGAAAATGTTTTCTGACCAAAGAAAAATCGAATTTTCTAGTAGAAAATGTTTTCTGACCAAAGAAAAGTCAAATTTTCTAGTAGAAAAATTTTCCAGTCATGCAAAATAAGATTGAAAGTAGAAAAAGTATTTCTTAATCAGACAGAGTCTGAAAAAGTCATATTTGTAGGTAGAAATTGTTTTTTGATCAGACAAAATCGAATTTTTCAAATAGAAAAAGTTTTCCGATAAAAAAATTTGAATTTCTAAATAGAGAATTTTTTTTTGTACAGCCAAGGTCGGATTTTTGACAAGAAAAAATTTTTTGGTCAAACAAAGGAAGATTTCTAAGTAGAAAAATATTTTTTGGTCATCAAAAATCGAATTTTCAAGTAAAAAATGTTTTCTGACCAAAGAAAAATCGAATTTTCTAGTAGAAAATGTTTTCTGACCAAAGAAAAATCGAATTTTCTAGTAGAAAAAGTTTCCAATCATGCAATATAAGATTTGAAGTAGAAAAAGTATTTTTTAGTCAGACGCAGTGTAAAAAAATCATATTTGTAAGTAGAAAATAATTGTTTGTTAGTCAAAATCGAATTTTTTAAATAGAAAAAGTTTTCCGATGAAACAAATTTAAATTTCTAAATAGAAAATTTTTTCTTATCCAGCCAAATTCGAATTTTGAATTAGAAAAATTTTTTGGTCAGACAAAGGCAGATTTTTAGGTAGAAAAATATTTTTCAGTCCCCCAAAATCAAATTTTGAAGTAAAAAAACTTTTCCGACCAAACAAAGGTCAAATTTTCTAGTAGAAAAATTTTCCGATCATAGAATATAACATTTAAAGTAGTATAAGTATTTTTCAGTCAGACACAGTACAACCAAGGTAGGATTTTCAAGTAGAAAAAGTTTTTCGGTTAGAAAGAAAAAAATTCGAATTTTTTTTTTATTTTCTCAATTTACCTTCGTTTAATTTTTTTGTATTCTGTACATTTTCCTTTTCATATTCTTCATCTGTAAGAAATTAAATTTTTTATTTCTAGTTTTTTTTATTAATTTCATCTTTTTTGATATTAAAATATAGTTTTACCTTCACTGTTTTCTGCGGCTGTCACAAAAACAGTACCTTCGGAAAGAGATTTATCTCCCTCTAAATAATAAAAATAATTAGAAAATTTGAAAACGAAAAAAAAATAATTAATTTTTTATTTTCATAATTATTTTCTCTTCGATATTTAAAATTTTTTTTGGGGAGTTTTTTAAAACTGTTCTATGGCTGTATTAATTTTCAATTATTCGATTATTATTAAAAAAATTTTCTACCTCTATTAATTTGAATATCAATTTTCTCATTATCAGATGATATTTTCTCTTTCTCTAAAGACGTTTCCTTTGGAAAAAATTCAAATATATTTATTATTATGTTAAGTATTATTTATTAATATAAAGAAAACATAAATTATTAATTTTAATTTAAGTTTATTAATTTTTCATTATTGGAATTTAATTCTTAAATTAATTATAATATGGAAAATATAATTTTACCTCAATTAAATTTTTTTCCCCAGCTTTTGAATGTTCATCAGCTTGTTGAATTTTTTTCATAATTTCACTAATTCGTAGAACGAGATTAATGTGGGAAAGAAGCCAATGTCGCCATTCATGAATTTCTTCCCCCACCATTGACAGCCAACAGCACCAAACGCGAATTTTTTCCGATGGCACTGCAATTAAACGTTCCATCGATTCTATGATTTCTCTGCAAAAAAAAAAAATCTGACAATTATAAAATCAAAAATAATTGAACCAATAAACTATCACTAACAATAATAATAAAAAAAACTTTTAATTTATTATTTTAGAAATATTTTGAAAAAAAAATTATTTTTAGTTAATTTTTTTTTGTGGTAAAATCTTCACCTCGAAAATAGAAATAAATATTAAATACTAAAATCCGTTTTGAAATGTTTCGAATTTCAAGGAAAGAAAATATTATTTTTCATTCGTCAAAAAAAAACAAAAAAAAAAAATTTGTCCGAAAAAAATGACAAAAACAACGCTTTTCTAAAAATAATTACATCAAAATATTTCAAAACAATACAAGAACATTTTTTTCAATGTAAAAATAATTTTACATATATTTGTCATTTCGTAATGACAAATTTCTTTTTTTTTTTTTTTGAAGGATAAATTTTTTGATAATTTCTAAATTCTTCTTTTTTTTTTTTTATTTCCTTGATATGAACTTGATATGATAAATAATGTACAAAATTCCGGTAAAATATTGTGAAATTTCTTTCCTTGTTTTTACATATCTTTTTCGTCTTGCGTCATTCAACCTACACCTTGGACTAAAATTACCAATAGACGATCGTCAAAAACTATTTTAAGTGGGAACTTCAAGACGAAAGAGATTATTATTATTATTATTATTAATATTATTATTATTCGTAACTTGTTGTGGTGGAAAATAAAATCATTTCTATTATTATTATTATTATTATTATTATTATATTAAATTCATTGTCTATCAAATGTCATATTTATGAATCTTAATTATTCAAATTTTTAACTTTTTTTATAAAAATTTTATTTTAATTACCAAATGATATTTAAATTAAATTTAATTAGATTTTTATCAAATTTTATCCGAAAAGAAAGAAATTCTAAGCAAATAACTAAAATTTAGTCATTCATCTAATATTTTTGAAAGTTTTTTGATTTTTTGAATTTTTTTCTAAATTTATAATTGATTAGCTGTAAAAAAAATATTTTTTATTTCTTTATCGACGACTTGTTTTGATAGAATTCAAATCGGTTTTGGAATATATTGGAATTTTTTTTTTTTTTTTTTTCTTCTTTTTTTTATGGAAATGAGTGACATTCTATTTACGCTTATCTTATTGCAAAGTGGAGAATTTCGACTTACATATTTGGTTGAACGAACTTGATCCCAATTTTCTCTTCAGAGAGTGTCAAAGTTATTTTGTCGCTTCTTTTTTTTCTTTTTTCCTCGCGTTCCACGTTTCTTCTATTTCTTTCTTCAACGCTTCTTTCCGCCTCGATTTCCTGAACAAAGAAAATATCCTGTTAATCGATCCCGTCAACTGTCTCACTCTCTTTCTCTAATCGAAATGCTTATCATCGATTAAAATCAAATGTACACCCCGTCATTCGCCTCTTGAAATAGGATACTTTTAGTTTAATTTCAAATATATAAAGGTGAAATTTTACGAAAAAAAAAATTCACACATCAGTCAAAAAAAAAGGAAAAAAAGAAATTAAATTTATAAAATAAGATTTTTAAGCAGAAATTTTTTTTGGGGTCTAAATAGAGTTTTTTTGGATAAAAATTTTTTTTTTCTATTGTAAAAAATTAAATTTTACTTATTTGCGAATAAGCAATTTGTAACTAAGCAATTAGTAATTAGTAATTAGTAATTAGTAAATAATAAGTAACTAGTTAGTAATAAGTAACTAATTGTAGCCGAGGGAAATAAACATTTTTAAGTAGAAAAAGTTTTTTTTATTCATATAAACTAACAATTTTTAAGTGAAAACAGTTTTTTTAAGACTACTTAAAAATTAATAGTTTGACTAACTTAGAGAATATTTTTACTACTTAAAACAATTTTACCACTTAAATCATACTCAGTCTGACTAAAAAAAATTTCTACATAAAAAGTAATAGTTTGTCTGACTCAAAAAATTATACTACTTAATAATTACACTTAGTCGGACTAAAAAAAAATTTTCTACTTAAAAATTAATAGTTTGGCGGACTTTGAGACTTTTTCTACTTTAAAAACTTAGTTTGTCTGACAAAAAAAAAATTTCTACTTAAAATTGTTACTTTTTTTGATTAAAAAAAATTTTTACTTAAAAATTTTACTTTGTCTGACTAAAAAAGTGTTTTCTACATAAAATTATTACTTTTTTTAATTAAAGAAAATTTCTACTTAAAAATTAATAGTTTGGCTGACTACCAAACATTTTCTACTTAAAAATTGATTGTTTGTCTGAATAAAAAAAATTTACTACTTACAAATTATGCTTAGTCTAGCTAAAAAAATTTCTACTGAAAAAATTTACTGTGACTAAAAAACTGTTTTGTACTTAAAATTATTACTTTTTCTTAATTAAAGAAAATTTCTATTTAAAAATTAATAGTTTGGCTGACTGACAAACATTTTCTACTTAAAAATTTATTGTTTGTCGGAATAAAAAAAATTTACTACTTACAAATTATGCTTAGTCTAGCTAAAAAAATTTCTACTGAAAAAATTTACTTTGACTAAAAAACTGTTTTGTACTTAAAATTATTACTTTTTTTTAATTAGAAAATTAATTAGAAAATTAGAAAATTAGAAAATTTCAATTTCATTTTTCAATTAGAAAATTTCTACTTAAAAATTAATATTTTGGCTGACTAAAAAACTTTTTCTACTTAAAATTATTACTTTTTTTAATTAAAAAAAATTTCTACTTAAAAATTAATAGTTTTGTCTGACTACGATACTTTTTCTACTGAATGATGTTACTTTCTTTAACTAAGAAAATGTAACTACTTAAAAATCCTACTTTGTCTGACTAAAAAAAATTTTCTACTTAATATTCTTACATTGTCTGACTAAAAAAAATTTTTTTACTTAAAAATCGATTGTTTGTTTGACTAAGAAAATTTTTCTATTTTAGTGTTAGAATTTTGTCTCACTAAAAAACTTTTTCTACTTAAAAATAAATAGTTTGACTTTGAGACTATTTCTACTTGTTAACGTTACTTTGTTGGACTAAGAAAATTTTACTACTTAAAAATTTTACTTTCTCTCATAAAAAAAATTTTTCTAATTAAAATTTCTACTTTGTCTAACTTTAAAAAATTTCTACTTAAAAATTGATAGTTGCAAATTTGCACTTTGTAACTAATCAGTTAGGAACTAGTAGCTAGTAACTAAAAAAGTAACTAATTTATAGTTAGTAATTAGTAAAAAAAAGTAATTAATCAGTTAGGAACTAGTAACTAGTAAGTAAAAAAGTAACTAATTTATAGTTAGTAATTAGTAAAAAAAAGTAACTAATCAGTAGCAAATAATTAATTAGTAATTAGTAACTAATTAGTACTTAGTAACTAATTCAAGTTAGTAACTAATTAGTAGCTAATAATTAATTAGTAATTAATTAGTAATTAGTAATTAATTAGTAATTAGTAACTAATTAGTAGTTAGTAACTAATTATTAATAATTAACTAAGTAGTTCTTCGGAAAATAAAAATTTCCCAGTAGAGAAAAAAAGTAATTAAACAAATTTCTATTTCAATTTCACAATTTGCTTTATATCAATGCAAAAGCTTTTAAGAATTACCATCAGTAACACTTTGTGTTTGTAGCCAAATTTTCCATTTTGGCACAAATTTCTTAAAATGACAATAATTTTCTACTTTTTATCTAAATATATATATATATGTATTTGCGCCAAGAAAATGTCTCGTACCAATTGCACTTTAAACAACATGGTTCAATATACATTCAGAATCGGACCTTGATTTTCGAAATGTTTATTAATTGATCTCAAAGATTGTCAGTTGAAATAATGAAATCATGTTTATTTAGACAATTCTGCCAATAAACTATCATTGGACCGCAATTATACTTGACGCCAATCGCAGTTTGGCGAATGTGGTTTACCACTAGAGAACATTGACTGTCAAGTTAATCATGAGAAGTATATATATATATATATGGTATTTACATATATATATATAAGTAGAAAATAATTTAAAGGTGGAAAATTCCAAAGCAAAAGTTCGCGACTGTTCTAAAAATGTTTGAGGATGAACCGATCTTTCACGCGAATAAAACAAGTCTGTCGTGTATGTATATATGTACTTGTCGGGTATTCTATTAATAAATCCGTAGAGTACGAACTATCATTAAAAATAGATTTTCAGTGAAGTAACAACATTTTCCATTTATCCTCCATATCGTTTGAATTTCGTGATGATATATCCCAACCAAAAATTTCAGTATTATACCAGATTTGACTACTGGCGCAGTACTGGTTCAATATTGGCTGCCGAGGCTGGGCAGTCTGTACTGAACCAGTACTGGTATTTTCATTGTATCAGTACTAGTGCAGTACCACCCTCCCAGTACTATGGCAAACCAGTACTGAGCCGATATTGAGTCAGTACTGGCTCAAATAGATTTTCTTTTTGATTAATACTAGTTTACAAAAAGTTCTACAGTGAACCTAATGAATCTTTTTGTTTAAATATTTTGTTTATAAAAATTTTGTTCACTTTGATTTTTATTTTTCAAAAATTAAAAGTTATTTTATTTTGCTTTTTTGAGGGTACAATTATTTAAACAAAAAGTTTCCTGAGACTAATTCCAAAACATTTTGCAAGTTTTTTTTTATTGTTTTCAGATATGCAATAAACCAAGAAAAAAATTTAAAACAATCAAACTAAAAATAAATAAAATTGTTTATTAAAAAATTAATAATTTTTAAAATAAAAATTTTTTAAAATTTTCTTTGTTAAAAATTAAAAAACAACTTTTATTTTCTTAAAAAAGTATTTCAAAAATTTATTTTAATGCAAATAATTAAAGTGAATAATAAAATAATTAAATAGCTAATTGTATAATTATATAAATTATAATTATTTTATAAACATTTTTATTTTTACTGAATTGTTTTTATATATTATGAAAACTTTGGTTTTATAATAAACATATTTTTATATTTATTTTTTGATTTTTTAAAATAATAATTTTGCAATATATATTATAAGAAGGAATGAGAATTCTTGGTGTTTTCGATTTTATATATAATAAAATATTAATTAGTTAGTTAACTAATTTAATTAATATTTAATTTGTGTTGGGTTACTAAAAATTTCACACACTTTTTCCTAAAAAAAAAAATATTACCTGGAGCAGAGATTTCACTATTGCAAGTGAAACTTATCTCTGATACAGTTAAAGCTTTCTTTTCGTATACAATAAATTACAAAACTACCAGTAATCAGCTAGTACTGAACCCCAGGTAGAAAAATTAACATTACTAACGTTACTAATATTACTAACGTTACGTTACGTTACGTTTTATTATTACCTATAAAAAAATTACGAAACTGTTTCTAAATTGTATTTTTGCAGAAACTTGTCGAAAATCGACCACCAGAAAGTATTTAATGTTCTTACCCGCACTTTTTATAATTTTCATTTCTATTATCACTTACACTTTTTTATTTTCATTACCGTTTCCACTTTCACTTTTTCTAATTCTCATTCCCATTTTCACTTCCACTTTTTATAATTTTCATGCACATTTTCACTTTCACTTTTTTATTTACATTTCCACTTCCACTTACACTTTCTCTAATTCTCATTCGCACTTCCATTGTGGGAAAGTGAAATGTGAATGTGAAATGTGAAAATGGGAATGAGAATTAGAAAAAGTAGTAGTGTCAATGGATATAAAAAACTGGAAGTGGAAATAGGAATGGGAATGAAAATTAGAAAAAGTAGAAGTGGCAATGAATATAAAAAAGTGGAAGTGAAAATGGGAATGAAAATTGGAACAAGTGGAAGTGGAAGTGAAAGTGGAAATGAGAATTAGAAAAAGTGGTAGTGGCAATGAATATAAAAAACTGAAAGTGGAAATAGAAATGGGAATGAAAATTAGAAAAAGTGGAGGTGAAGTGGGAATGAGAATTAGAAAGAGTAGAAGTGAGAATGGAAGTGCGAATGAGAATTAGAAAAAGTATAAGTGGAAATGGAAATGAAAATTGTAAAAAGTTTAAGTGGAAGTGAAAGTGGTAATGGAAAAGTAGTGTTAAAGTTTCTGTGAAAATATATTTTAGAAACTCTTAATTTTTTTATAGGTACTAACGTTAGTAACATTAGTAATGTTAGTAACATTAGTAACGTTTGTAACGTTAATTTTTTCACCTGGTACCAGTAGTGGTTACCAGTACTGGTGCCAACTCTGGCAGCCAATACTGGTAAAATGTTATCATCCCAAAGTTACGCCAACTCTGGCGCCAATACTGGGTGCCAGTACTGCGCCAGTACTGCGCCATTAGTAAATTTTTGATTGGGATAATTCAGTTTTCTTTTTTTTAATTAAATTTTTTATCTCCAATATTTATTTTTCATATTTGAAAATGCATAGAACAAAATATATTTTATATATATGTATATATATATAGGTAGAGTAAAATATATTTTGCACTTATTTCAATATCAATATACTGATATACAATATCCCAATGGAATTGACAGAAAAGAATTTCTTTCCTAGGGAACATTTTTCCGAACGTATCATTTCCCTCTGGTTGAGTTAAATCACATTTTAACAAGAGTAAAGTAACAATATCGAATCGTTTTGGCAGGGGGAGGGGAAAAAAAAGAAGTAAATTTTCAAATCCTTTTTAACTTTTGAAAACTCGAGTGTCTCAATGATCAAAACCAATTTAGTGTCTAACTGATTGTGTGTGTGTGTGTGTGTATGAGAGAGATAGAGGGAGATGGAGAGTAATTTTCTCTGAAAAGCCATAATCGAGAAAAATAGATCTGTCGAAAAAAGAGAAAAAGTCCATTATCGTTCGTTTGATAAGTGAGCGAAGAGCAAAAGAGAAAGAGAGAACCAAAAAGCGTTCTTGACGCGTGAATGAAAACTAAAATGTAATATGAAACTGCGAATCGAATCAATGTCTCAATTTCAAAGCATAAGGTAGTTGTTTCGCAACATTTTCTGACGAAAGTTATTACGAAAAAAAATAAAAATATTAGAAAATATTGTCGAAATATTTTTTATACTTTTTGTGTTAGAAAAAAAAATTTATTTTTCTATTTTTTTTGTTCTTTTTTTGATAGACAAGGACTTTTGTAGAATAGAAAATAATTATAACAATAACAAACAAAAGGAATTATAATAAATTAGAGGTATTTGTAATAAGTAAAAAATAAAGAAAAACATTCTTAGTCAATGTATGAAATTTAGAAATAGAAAAATTCGTAGCCGGAAAAATGAACTATTTTTAAGTAGAAAAGTTTTTTTATTCAGACAAAAACTAATCATTTTTGAAATAAAAATAGTTTTTTTTTGGACAAAGTAATTTCTAAATTTGTCTAAGAAAAAAAAGTTTTTATTGGTAATGAAAAATAAAATTTCTATTTCAAAAATTTATAGTTTGACTAACAAAAACTATTTCTACTTAAAATTTCTTACTTTGGCAAAAAAAAAAAATTTCGACCTAAACATTTCATTTTGTCTAAGTAAAAAAAATTTTTCTACTTAAAAATCATAGTTTTTTGCACTGAAAAAAATTTCTCAGTAATTTTTGTCTGCTAGAAAATATTTCTTTGGTTTGACTATTTTTTGTACTTAAAGTATGTTTTTTTTATCCTACTTGTAAAATTTTAGTACTTCAAAATTTTAACTTAACAAAGAAATTTTTAACTTCTTAAAAATCTTATTGTGACTAAAAAAGATTTACTCTTTCCAAATATTACTTTGTCCGAGTAAAAAGAAATTCTGCTAAAAAATTAACAGTTTGTCTGACTGAAAAAAATTTTCTACATAAAAATTATTTTAATGTGATTAAAAAAAATTTTCTACTTAAAAATTAATTGTTTGGCTGACTTGGAGGCTTTTTCGACTTAAAAATTGATAATTTGTCTGACTCAAAAATTTTTTCTACATAAAAATTAATAGTTTCTTTGACTTGAAGACTTTTTTTACTTAAAAATTAATTTGTTGGCTGACTTGGAGGCTTTTTCTACTTAAAAATTGATAATTTGTCTGACTCAAAAATTTTTTCTACATAAAAATTACAAGTTTCTTTGACTTGAAGACTTTTTCTACTTAAAAATTGGTACTTTGGCTGACTAAAAAATTTTTGCTACTTAAAATTATACTTAGTCTTACTAAAAAAAATTTCTACTTAAAAATCTTACTTTGTCTGACCAAAACAAATTTTACCACTTAAAGTTCTTACATTGTCTGATTAAAAAAAATTTCTACTTAAAAATCGTTATTTCTTCTATCTAACTAGATTTTTCTACTTGAAAATGTTACTTTATATAATTAAAAAAAAATTTCTACTTACAAATCCTTATTTCGTCTGACTAACTAGATTTTTCTACTTAAAAATGTTACTTTATATAATTAAAAAAATTTTACTACTCGAAACTCTTACTTTGTCTGACTAAAAAAAAAAATTCCACTTGAAATTCTTACATTGTCTGATTAAAAAAAAATTTCTACTTAAAAATCGTTATTTCGTCTGACTAACTAGATTTTTCTACTTGAAAATGTTACTTTATATAATTAATAAAATTTTACTAATCGAAACTCTTACTTTGTCTGACTAAAAAAAAATTTCCACTTGAAATTCTTATATTGTCTGACTAAAAAAAATTTCTACTTAAAAATTAATAGGTTCTCTGACTTGGAGACTTTTTCTACTTAAAAATCGATAATATGGCTGATTAAAAAAAATTTTTACTTAAAATTATACTTAGTCTAGTTAAAAAAAATTACTACTTAAAAACCTTACTTTGTTTGACTAAAAGAAAATTTTCTACTTAAAATTCTTACTTTGTTTAATTAAAAAAAAAATTTCTACTTAAGAATCAATAGCATGTCTGACTACGTTGCTTTTTCTACTTGGAAATTTTACGTTATATATTTATGAAATTGTTACTAATTAAAAAGCTCACTTTGTCTGACTAAGAGGCTTTTTCCAACTTAAAAATTGTTAGTTTGTCTGACTAAGAAACTTTTTCTACTTGAAAATGTTACATTGGCTAAAAAAATTGCACTCCATAAAAATCCTACTTTGTCTGACTAAAAAAAAAATTTTCTACTTAAAATTCTTACATTGTGTGACTAAAAAAAAATTTCTACTTTAAAATTCGTTTTGTCTGACTAAGTAGCATTTCCTATTAAAAAACATTCCTTTATCTGATTAATGGAAAATTTTACTAACTTGCAAAACACATTGCCTGAGTAAAAAAAAATTTCTACTTTCAATTTTTACATTGTCCGACTAAAAAAAATTTCTACTTGAAAAATTAATAGTTTCTCGGAATTGGAGACTTTTTCTACTTAAAAATTGATAATTTGTCTGACTAAAAAATTTTTGCTACTTAAAATTATACATAGTCTAGCTAAAAAATATTTCTGCTTAAAAAGTTTACTTTGTCTGACTAAAAGATAATTTTCTACTTAAAATTCTTACATTGTTTGATTTAAAAAAATGTCTACTTAAGAATCAATAACATGTCTGACTACGTAGCTTTTTCTACTTGGAAATTTTACGTTATATATTTATGAAATTGTTACTACTTAAAAAGCTCACTTTGTCTGACTAAGAGCCTTTTTCCAACTTAAAAATTGTTAGTTTGTCTGACTAATAAACTTTTTCTACTTGAAAATGTTACATTGGCTAAAAAAATTGTACTCCATAAAAATCCTACTTTGTCTGACTAAAAAAAAAATTTCTACTTAAAATTCTTACATTGTCTGACAAAAAAAAATTTCTACTTAAAAATTTGACTTTGTCGCATGAAGAAACTTTTTCTACTTAATAATCTTTAGTTTGTGAACTAGTTTTTTTTTAAAGTCAGATAATTATTTTTCAAAAATAGTGTAAATTAAATAATCATAATTAATTAAACTAAATAAATGTAATCACAATAACAGCAATGGGAAAATAAAAAAAAAAAAATTCCACATATCTGTAAAAAGTGTTGGTAATTTTTTTTTTTTTATCTCCTTAGGAAATATGATCGAATCGAATATGTATATATACATATGTTCCGTTTCGATTTTCAAAAAGCTTAGGAAGCCTATCTTTTTTTCTTGTCTCGTTTTCTGTACGCTGCATCCACTTCCACTCGATTTACACGAAAGATGGTTGCACTGGAATTTCGAAACGAGTTTTACACATCGATCTCTCTTTCTCTCTCTCTCTCTTTTCTATATATGTATATGAAGACGTTTTGCCTCGAGGCTTAAAGGACGACTTTCAAGAACGCACTTTCAAATTGGCAAATGGCAAAAGGGGGCTGTATATTTGAAAATCATTTAAAATTCTCTGAAAATAAAAAAAAAACGAAATTTTTTTTGCAGGCACAAAATCCATTTTTTGTAGGAAAATTAACCTTGCGGAAAATTCGACTTTGGAACTATTTCTCTTTCTCTCTTTCGAGAGATGATTATAATGATGATGATGATGATGATGATGATGAAAAATTAAAGGAAGAAGTGAAAAATAAGATATACGTTTCTCAAAGAGGTGGTAGGAGAATCTTTGCCAGAAATAACTAATAAGACATTCACTCTGAGACGGGCGACCATCCAGCCCGGATGAACGCGGTGCGTCCCCGATTAGTAGTTTGCAAGTCACTTTTTTTTCATCAACAGTTGCTCATCATCAAAACCAAAAAAAAAAAAAGCCACACAAAAAAAAATTGGTTACCAATTACAAAATTACACTTTGCATATAAATATATATATATATATACCACATCTCATTTTACATTAAAATTGTGAAAAGCCGAACCTGCCTGCCTGCCAATATATCATCACCAATGATCCTCTGGTTTGTGTGATCCTTAACAGAACACCTTTTAATGAATTTAAAAAAAAAAAAAGTGCAAGAAATAATTTCACGTGAAAAAAAAGTAAATTAAATTTGTTACGCGAAACGGGACTCGCGATCTCAAAAAGAGTTTGTGGCATTCTTGTGTTAAAAATATATTTTTTTTTTGTTTCCTTCCAATCAGTGAACTATATCAGATATAGTGATTGTGATTTTCCAATAGTGTTTTGGATTTCATTGGATTTTTCATGAATTTGGTAACACATTGTCGAATTGAAATTTGCTGGGGAATTTTTTTTTTCATAGAAATAGAAAAAATTGATTCTCTGCAAAAATTTGTAATATAATTTTTTTTTTATTGAATAACTGAATTTTTTTTGCAATTTAAAAATTTTTTTATTGATTTAAAAATATTTTTTCTTTATAAAATATATGAATTTCTAATTATAAAATATAATTTTAAATAACTAAATTTTCTAAGTATATGATTAATAAAAAAAAAAAAAAAAAAAATTGCCCAGGAAAATAAAAAGGAAAGAAAATGTAATTCTCATGAATTGCTACGGTTGGAATAAGGAAATTTCTAATGAATATCTAATTCGAAGAAAGGAAACGATCAAGCGCCAAGTGTATTTTTATACGGAGCTTTATACAAACACATCGAATTATATACATGTGCAGATTGCATGTTATATTACAATTAAAAGACAAAATTGCTCTTAAAATATAATAAAAAAAGCTAGAAATTATTAATAACTACTAAATATTAATTTTGTAATATATTTTAGCTGTTAAAAGGCGAAAATTACAAACAATTTTTAATTTTCCTTTTTAATTAACCGAAAAATTCTCTTTTCAAATTCAAATATAAATAATGTAATAATAATAATAATAATAATAATAATAATAAATTATTTATTAATTAAGCTTCAGCCTTTCGGCCCAGAAGTGGACTTGGAAATAATAATAATAATAATAAATTATTTATAATAAATAATAACAATAATACACATTAAATATGATAATTATTTATTATTATAAATAATTTATTGCAAATATTTCTTATGAAATTATTATAAATATTATAAATTTATTATAAATTTATTATTTATTATTATAAATAATTTATTGCAAATATTTGTTATGAATTTATTATAATTATTATAAAATTATAATTATTATAAATTTATTATAATTATTACAAGATTAATGATACTTTTTCAAAATGAAATGTAAAAAATTTTAATTCAATACATTTTTTAATTATATCCTTAGTTATTGTTACGTAAATGAAAAAAAACAAATGTTCGTCACGATATTTTACCACAATCTGGTATTTTTTTTTCCTTCTTTTTTTTTTTTTTTTTTTTGAAACTGTAAATTTTAACCCGTTCCATGGGGTTTTATTCTGGTTGAGATTTTACGAGGATGATTCATCCCACAGGCGACACATTCAGTGTCGATCGTAATTTCCGCTGTCTGGAGAGTCCAGTAAATAACAATAGAGCCAAAGAAATCTCAAACTCTGCCAAAACTATGTCAATGATTGTGATTTGTTGTCGGCTCTTTTGTTTCATATATATATATATCTACTACTCAAAAGCGATTATTAGTATTTCCTTGTGACTTGATAAATTCTCTCTTTAAATTATATATATAGAAAAAAATATATATATAATGGATTTTCAAAAAAAAAAAAAAAATTCTTTTTATTTATTCATCAAAAAAAAAAATTTATTTCCCAACGGTCAAAAAGTAGATCATTTTACTCAAGTGCTGAAAAATGCTATTTTACTCCCTAGTGCTGAAAATTGGCATTATAATTTTAATTTTAGAAAACGAATAACTGCAAAATTTTGGTTAAAAAAAAATAAAATTTTACTTTTAATTTGTTTATGAGAAATTTTTTCCTAAAAGAAAAATCGAATTTTCTCTCTCTCTCTCTCTCTCTCTGGAGGTTTGGCGAACCCCTCTTGAAAAATAGTGACAGTTGGTAATACTTTAATAGGATTTAATACTTGTGGAGGGCCGCAAACGGAATGTGAATGATGACTTAATTGCATAAACAATTTCATGACCCCTCGTGGATGATAGGGGTCATAAAATATATTCTCCATATATACTGACATCAGGCAGTAGCAACAGGGACATTATAACGACCGATACTTAGTGCTTGGAAGTGACATTCGTAATGGATTCGTGATACGTCTCACACAGCTGATTCTCCGTTTGTGCTTGCAAAAGGGACTTGAACTTTAAACGATAAGAGCCATTATAATGTTCCATATATATATATATACACGTTAAAAATGCATTTCAAAAAATCTAACTTCCTTTTTTTCTTAAAATAACAGATATCGGAATTTTTTTTTTTTAAATCCAAAAATTTAAATCGTTTTTTATTTTAAAACTTCTATTTAAAAAGAAATTTTAATTCATAATTGTAACGAAGTTTTACTGGGGAGTAAAAATTTACTAGGAAGCAAATACCTATTGAGAAAAGACGCATTTTCCAATACTAGGGAATAAAGTAATAATTTTTTGCACTAGTGGAGGAAAAATAGATTTTTAACACTAGGGAGCAAATATCTAGTGAGTAAAGACGCATTTTCCAATACTAGGGAATATTTGTTTGCACTAGTGGAGCAAAAATAGATTTTTTAACACTAGGGAGCAAATATCTAGTGTGTAAAGACGTATTTTTCAATACTAGGGAATATTTTTTTTTGCACTAGTGGAGCAAAAATAGATTTTTTAACACTAGGGAGCAAATATCTAGTGAGTAAAGACGCATTTTCCAATACTAGGGAATATTTTTTTTTGCACTAGTGGAGCAAAAATAGATTTTTTAACACTAGGGAGCAAATATCTAGTGAGTAAAGACGCATTTTCCAATACTAGGGAATATTTTTTTGCACTAGTGGAGCAAAACTATATTTTTAATACTAGGGACCAAAGTGGTTTTTTTTAACACTAGGGATCGAAAAATGTTTTTAATCCAATGAAGCAAAATTACCATTTTTCCCCTAGAGTAAGCTGTTTTCTTTCCACTTGGGGGTAAATTATTTTTTAACCTAGTAAGTAAAAATATTTTTCGCCCTAGTGAGTAAATGAACTTTTTTTTATCCTAGTGAGTAAAAACAATTATTTTTGCCCCTAGTGAGTAAAGTGGCATTTTTCTATACTGGGAAGAAAAGTGTCCTTTTTTACACTAGTGAGTAAATTACTATTTTTTACACTAGTGAGTAAATTAATATTTTATACCCTAGTAAGTAAACCAAATATTTTTGACCCTAGTGAGTGGCATTATTTTTTGAACACTAGTAAGTAAAATGGAAATTTTTAACCCTAGTGAGGAAAACTATTCTTTATCACCCAAAAAATTCTACATTTATAATTATACTAAATAGGTAGTAAATTCAGAAAAAAGGTTTCAAAGACTACATTTTTTTTTTTTTTTTTTTAAATAAAATCAGATACAATTTTTTTTCAAAATAAGATGTTATAATATCCATAAAATTTCATATCAATCATTTAGTGGATTATATACTTAAACCGTATATCATATGACTACCAATTAACTTAAGCACCAAGTCCCCTATCATTTACCAAAAAAAAAAAAAGGAAAGGAAATGAAAAAGTCTTTTTAAGCAACATCCAATGATAACAGATTTTGCTACCCCCTACATTAGGGTTTACCACCCTAGTTTTATATCTACTTATCTCCACATAATATATTTTCAGACACTATATATAGTTCATCTTTCAAATGTTTCTAGCCAACTTACAATTATAATGATTCATAATATTATTTATTTTACAATTCCAGAATAATATTCGAAAAATTTTGCTATTTTTTTTTTATTTATTTATTTTTTTAATATCAAATTATTAATTCATTATTTTTTAATATAAATTATTCTTAATTAGAAAAAATAGTAATAAATAAAGACCTTGTTGATACATAATAGTAGTGTGCAATAAAACTTGTCTGTTTTCATCAAATATTTACATTAGAAAAAAAAAAGAGGCATCATAACTTGCTTTTTGGAGGCCACTTCAGATTTACAAATATTTTATTAGGTCTAGCTTTGATAAATTTCAATCAAATAAAAGTCCATTGCCAAAAACTTGCAAACTCCTCTTTTTTACTTTTTTTCTACTTCTTCTTCTTCTTCTTCTTCTTGGAGAAAGAAAAAAAAAAGTTGTAACTAAATCGAAAGTTCAAACATGATCAGAAATTCAATCAGAAATAGAAGTTTTTGACATGATCAATAACATTTGAAAAAAAAACAAGTTTTAATGAAGGAGAGGAAAAAAAAACTTCCTACAACTACAGAAATAGATTATTAGATCTGGTTTTTTAGGAGAGAGAGAGAGAGAGAGAGAGAGAGAGAAAGAGAGTAGAGGTCATTTAGAGGCGAGGGAAACTTTTTTTTATCAAGGTCATTGAGAAAATTCTGATTCACTTAACGAATTGAATATATTATTATATTAATATATTATTATTAAGTTGAGCGAAAATTTTCTTTTTTGCAAAATATATAAATTTAACAAGAAATTTTCACTTTGTAATCAGTCGAAAAAGGTTTATAGTCCGACAAACAATTTTTAAGTAGAAGTAATTTTTTATAGTCAGACAAAGTAAAATTTCAAGTAGAAATTATTTTTGTTAACTTTCTTTTAACTAGAAAAAAATTTTCTAATCAAAGTAATATTTTTAAGTAGAAATAAATTTCTTCAGACAAAGACAACTTTTTTGATAGCAAAATTTGTCTTTTGACAATCGAAAATTTTTCAGTAGAAAAAATTTCTTTGTATAGCAATTTTGAAGTAGAAAAAGTTTCTTAACATTTTTATGTAAAAATTTTTTAATCCTAAATTTTATAGTCAACTGGAAAGGGAATTTTTAATTGTTGTTAATTCCTATTTTTAAATAAAAAAAAATACTGTTGAATAACAAATTATTTTCATAATTTTCTATATAAATTATTAATATTAATTATTATTATATTATTATTACATTATTATTACATTATTATTACATTATTATTACAAATTATTAATATACACATTTTAATTATTCTAATTCTAAATTCCTTCAATGATTAACGAATATTATAATAATTGGATTGAATTAATTTCGTGAGTAAAACAATATTTGCTGAAGCACATATGGTCAAGTATATATATATTTAACGGAATATTTTGTATGTAAACAATACCAATTTTAGTAACTTTATCATTATTATTAGTATTTTTTATTATACAGAATTGTAATCAATTTTAACAATATTCAAGTATAAATATTATTAATATAAAAAAAATTTTAACGGAATTAAATAAATAAAATAATATTCTAAATTTCATTTAATAATTTTTAAATTATATTAAATTTTATGAATATTTTATAAAATGAATTGTAGAATAATTTTAATAATATAGGAATTTTTTTTTATCTTTTATATTAATATATTATACAATATTTAAGCAAAAGTATTATATATTCAATAAATATTTATATACAATATTTGATAAACTCTTTGATCAATATTGGATAATATTTGATAAATTATTTTATAAATGAGATAATATTTGACAAATTATATATTTATTAATGAGATATAATATTTTGATGAATCGTTTCACCTCTTCCAATTAGCATTTCATAAATTATTATTTTAACGCCCGGATATAATACACAGGAATTATTACCTTAATTGTGTTGTAAAAATTTTTAAATACAATTTTTTTAAATTTTTTTCAACTGGAAAAAAATTTCTCAACTTCTCAGTTTTTGGTCAGACAATGTAAAATTTTTTAAGGGGAGGGACCGCTGAAATTTTAACACATCAAAATTAAAGCTGTTTAAGGGTGGTCAATTTTTTTTCTGACAATATTAATTATTTAAATGTATAATATATCATGAAAAATTGAAAAACTATAAATTTGTTAATAATTTTTAAAATCAAATTCAAAATTCTCGAAAATTTAAAATTTAAACTTCTCTCACAATTTTAATTATTTTTGACTGCCGATTTTTTTATACGCTTGTTTCATGATTCTAAACAATCAAGCGTATGGATTTTGAAAAATTTCAATTTTTTCAAAAAATGAAAATTTTGAAAAATAAAAATATTTGTAAAATTGTTAAAAATTACCTTTTGTTGTTTTTCTCAGTAGAATAAGATTTTTGGTTGAAAAAAAATGTTGAAAAAAATTATTACCCCTAAACAAGATCAATTTTGATTGCTTTCAATTTTAGTGGTAATTTTGAAAAAATTCAACTACTTCCACAATTTTCATTATTTTTTATTGTTGAATTTTTTTTACGCTTTTTTCACGATTTTAAACAATCAATCGTATGGAATTTAAAGAAATTTAATTTTTCCAAAAAATAAATTTTCTAAAATAGCTAAAAAATTTTTTTTTTAAATTTTAATAATTTATAATAATTTTGGATCCTAAATTATGCCAGAAAAAAATTGACACTCTTTAACAATAATAACTTCAGTAGGCTGAAATTTCACCGGTCCCTCCCCTTAATTTTTTAATTTAAATTTTTTTTTTAATTTTTGCCAATGTAAAAATTGTAGATTTTAATTAAATATTAATTAAATTAATATTAACATTGCCATTACAAAATTAATTTTTGAATATTTGAATTATATTTTATTTCTTATTAGAAATTATTCGTATAGTGTAGAATAAAAATTATCATCTCCAATGAAAGTTTTCTAATTCAAGGTCTTTGGTACATAATATAGTAAATATTTTTTTTTTATTAATTTATTTTTAATTAATTTTTAAATTTATTTTTAATTAATTTTTAAATTAATTTTTGAATAATTTTTTAAATTAATTTTTGAATTTTTTTTTTGAATTATTTTGTTAATAATTTTTTTTGAAATAATTTTTTAATATTTTTTTTTTGAATTAATTTTTTAATGATTTTTTTTTTTGAATTAATTTATGAATTAATTTTTTTCTGATAATATGATAATAAGTATTTGCTTGTCGTTTGATCGTCCGTGTCTAAAATTAAATGTTAGATAATCGGTTGAAAGTCGCGCGCGCGTCTCGTCGACAGTTACTTAAACGGTAGCACTTGCTGGTTTTAGTTGGTTTCTTGTTGGATAGGAAAAAAAGAGAGTCGCGCATAGAGGATCCAAGTGAAGAAGCCGAAAGCTTCGAAGCTTGTGCGATGGTGATGGTGAAGAAGAGTAGCAAGCAAAAGCGTGCCAGAAGCTCCCTACCTCGAGTCCCTCTCTCTCTCTCTCTCTCTCTCTTTCTCTCTCTCTTGTCGTCTAAAGTCGCTTAAAGTTCGAGTCCGCGTGTTCTAATATGGCCACCGGGTGTCCAATTACCTAACCCATCTGCTCTACCTTCTACTTCTTCTTTTTCTTCTTTTTCTTCTTATTCTTCTTTTTTTTCTTTTCTCATTTTATTTTTTTTTATTTATTTACTTTTTCAATTTTTACCCTTTCCATTAATTTTTACATTTCTTTATTCGTTTCATACAGCTGTATTTAATTTTTTTTTCTACTTTCTATTGTGTTTTTTTTGTTTTCATTTCTTTTTTATTAATTTCAAATTAATTAATTCTTTACGTTATTTTTATTAATAAACAAAAATGTTTATATTTTTAATTACTCCCATCTAAATGAAATGTTTTTTTTTCAAACTGAATTGAAATAAAATATTTAAAAAAATATATATATTTCTGAGTTAAATAATTATTTATTTGAAACAAATATTTTTACAAATATATTCAATATTCTCTCTATATAACAAAGGCTTATTAATCATCGTCATTTTTTTTTGCACAAGTAGTTAGAAGTGTTTTTTGCCCTTCCCCTTCTTTGATTTTATAGAATTAAAATTTAATTTAGTAAAAACTTATTTAATTATTTAGAAAATTTTTATTTTATTCAAAAAAAGTAAACTCTTTAAAAAAATTTCAGATTAACATCTATTGAGAAGTTTTCAATAAATGTTTATTACAAAACATTTTTCTATATTTTAAATTTTATAATACATATATTTTTATTTCTCTCTAAAATATTGAATAATAATATTTTCTATAAATTTATTACAAAATTTATTTACAATAAATTTCAATAAAAATGAATAAATTGGAAGTTTTCACCAAATAAAATATGGAATTGAAAATATGAAAATAAAAAAAATTATTAAATTTATATATATATATTTGTATATAATATATATTTATAAAATATATAACATATTTTGTAAAAAAAAAAAAAAAACTTAATCGACAGTGAAATAAATGTTAAATTTTCAATAAATTTCATATTCTATATTTATAAATGAATAGCGAGCGTATAAATTCAATTTTTATTTACATCAAATATCAAATTTTATTGCGTAAAAATAAAATCAAATTAATGTTAAAATAAAATTATTATAACGACAGTTTATGCTAAAGGGAATTTATTTTCATTTATAAAACTTCTCAATTATTGTCACTCTGATATTAAAATAATATGTTTCTTTTTTTTTAATGATAAATAATGAAAAATAATAATTTTTATTATTACAGCTAAAACAGCGCCGAATTTTGGTGATCAAAAAGTGGAAAATCAACGGGGCCCTATTGAAAGGGGCCCCTAACAAAGAGTGGCCGCCCTTAGGCGGATTAAGGGGCAGGTGAGTTTTCTATTTTTTATTTTTAATTTCTTTAATTTGCAATGTTTGTTCCTTTTATTTTAGGAAACAAAAAAAAATACTATCCCTAGTCTTGAAAAGGGTCATTTTACTCACTAGTGACGAAAACGGTCACTTTACTCCCTAGTGTAGAAATGAGGCCTTTTTCTCACTTGTGTCAAAAATGGTTATTTTACTCACTAGTGTATAAATAAAACTATTTTTCTCACTAGAGTCGAAAAGGGTTACTTTATTCTCTAGTGTATAAATAAGTCCTTTTTCTCACTAGGGTCGAAAAGTGTTACTTTACTCCCTAGTTCTTGAGAAATAGAAAATTTCTTTCTCAATTTGGAAAATTCCTAAAAAAAATTTTTTTCCTTTTTTTCGAATTTAAAAAAAATTGAGTATCTTCTCTGTGTTCTGTTCTTTTTTTTTAAGAATATGACTGAATTTTTGCAATCTAGTTTTCAGTATATATGCGTGATAAAAGTAACGAAAGTACAAATCCAAGTTAATACGGTTATAAAGAATGATACGGCATGAAGGAAATGGAATTCCAGCTTAAGGGATTTTCTCATTATAGCAAGAGATCGCGAGAGCGTTCCTGTGCCCATAGTTATATAGCATTAAATGGATTAAGAAAAAAAATCTAGCTAAAGGATTCTATATATATATAGGAAAAATTTGTTCTCAACACGAATTTAATGTTCCGGAAAATAAATTTTCTCTCTTAATTTGAATTTTACTGGAATTTTTTTGAGGAACAGTGTATTTTTCCGAAAAAGGATAAAATGGAACAAAAATAGGAACCACAAAACAATATATAATAATAATAATCGAACTAATTTCTTTTTACCACTTTTTGTCATTTTTTATTTTTTTATTAATATCTAAAAAAAAATTGCAATTAAAATCAAGGGAAAGAAAATTATTTAATTTTGATTAAAGATAAAAATTAATAATAATTTAGAAAAAACAATGCGAAATATAAAAAAATGAATTTTAATTGAAAAAAAAAAATTGCGTATTACATTTGTTAATAGGGATGTATACCAAGAAGCCAAAAATTGTTTTTTCATTGGTTTATGTACAACTCGTCACACGCATATATGTATTATCCATGTATATATATATATATATATGAGGAGAAAAATTAATACGCGAGATAACAAAGTTTTATTGTCATTCTACACTGACACTGTGGCAGTAAACTTGTTCAGAGGAACGAGTAGGAAAAAAAAAAGTGGTCAGAGAAATCAATTATTATGGATTCAATCGTCCCCTCCCCCCTCTTCCCCTTTTTTCGCGGAACCATTCGTTGCCGCGCAAATTGCATCGGTTCGACTTGAAATGGAATTCAAGTTTATGACCGTAATCAACTATAGTTTCATTTGCCTCAAAAAAAAATCTATTACACGTTTATTAGCGTTTCAATATTCTATTTTTTCAAAATCTGCTTTTTTCGCGCTGAAACACAAAATCGCAAATTTTTTATTTCTTTTTTGAATTCTGAACACTTTTACAACAAAATACACTTTTTTTAAGTCCCGTATATTAACGAATAAATAAATAAAAATATTTAATTAACTTTTCTAACTTTTTTTAATGTAAACGATTTTTTTTTATTTCATTTTTATTATTATTTTATTTATTACTAGCAAAATTAAGCGCGCCAAATTGAGTATTTAATTGTTTGTTATAAAGAAATTAAAGATTAATATTATCAATAATAATTTAACTTATTAGAATATTATTACATATTAAATGATAATAATGAAAATTATATGTTTACAGGCCTCGGATTATACGACTTTTTCCGACTTTTTTTCAAAAATACGACTTTTATCGACTTATTTTAATAAAATGCGACATTTTTTTTACATTTGAAAAAAAATGTAAATAAAATACATTTTTTTAGTATAAAATGTACATCTTCTTCAGATCTTCTTCAATTCAATTATTTAACAAATTTTGAACTAAAATGATTCTTCACTAAATTAATTATTTTTAATAATTTTAATGAAATACATCACAAATTCAATTATATCAAAATTATTTTTCAATTAAAATTTTTATGAAATTTAACAATTGTTTATAATTTAAAAAAAAATATCACAATAAAATTGAATTATTAATTAAAAATTTCAATTCAAAATAAACTAAAATTCAATTATTACCCGAAATTTTAATTCAAAATAATCAAAATCAATTAAAAATCCAATAATTATCAAAAATTTTCAATTTAAAATTTAATTATTTACCAAGTTTTCAATTTAAAATGAAATAAAATTCAATTATTTTCTAATATTTCTATTCAAAATTAATTATCCAAAATTTCAATCAAAAATGAACTTAAATATTAAATTATTATCCAAAATTTCAATTAAAATTCCATTATTTCCAAAATTTTCAATTCAAAATGAATGGAAATTCAATTATTTTCCAAATATAAAATCAAATAAAATTTAATTATTCTCAAAAATTTGAATTCAAAATTAATTGAATTTTCAATAGTTTGAATTTAAAAGCATCTAAAATTTAATTATTTCTAAAATTTTCCATCGAAAATTTTTTTTTTGATATTTAATTATTTCAATTATAACTCTAAGGAAATTCAATTATTTTTAACTATTTTAATAATATTCTTTGAAAATTCAATTGTCTGAAACCATTTTTCAATTAAAAATTATTTTCAAATTATTGTATTTTGTCCGCATTTTCTAATAAATTTTTAGTGAAATCATCTCAAAATTTTAATTAAAAATCACTTAAAGTTTCAATTAATTTCAAAAATCTCAATTTTAAATCTTTGAAAATTCAATTAAATTTAAAAAATGTTTTCCAAAAATTGTTTGATAAATTATTTTTAGTTCTGTAAAATTTAATAATTGTTTGAAAATTAACAATATCTTTTGAAATTTAATTATTTTTAAAAATTTTAACTTTAACCCTTCAAAAAGGATTATTATTAAAAAAAAAATTTTTTTATTTAAAAATCTGTAAAATATTTTTGTTATAATAAAAAACAAATCCACTTTTTTTTGGAATATAAATCGACTGAAACGACTTTTTTGTATCTTTAAGTTGATTCGAGGCCTGTGTTTTTATAATTAATATTTAATAGGTAATCGTTGGCCCCTGGTACCTTAAAAATTAATTTTTAAAAATAAATTTTTTTCAAATTACTATCTTGTACGAAATTTCCTGGCTCATCTTTTTTCTCATCATAAATTTTTTGTATTTCTATACAATTTTTGAATCAATATGCAACTTAAAAAAAATTTTCGTTAGTAAACGTTGCGTACTTCAGCTTCGTGAATTGAATTTTCGAATTTGAAATTTTAAAGAAACTTATTCCGAAATTTGAAAACACAATTATACAACTTTGGCAAAAATGAGAAAAAGAATTGTCAAAATTTGACACGTCATAAGATTAATATTCAAAAAAACACGTGAAATCAGAAAAGGCCAACTTCAAGTTAGGACAGAAGGACAGACCAAGCATTTTATTATTATATAATAATTCTATTTTCAATTTTTTAATTAATATTTAATTAGTTTTAAAATTATTCTTAAGTAATGAATTTTTGTAAATTATATCTAGAAAAATTGTTGGCATTTAAGTATATCGTTAAAAAAAATTTTCCTCCAAAAAAAGAGAATGAACACACAATTTAGTTGTTGGGAAAAATTTATAATAACTCAATTGAAATTAAGTTTATCATCAATTCCATGTATGTGAGATCATTTTTCAAACTTTCAAACTCATTACATTTAGTGGCTTAAAAATAAAATTCTCTTTCTCTATATATAGAAATATTTCTCTGTAAAGTTGAAAATAACAAAAAGAAATAAATTTAATCTTTCAAAAAGCTTTATATATAAAAAAACAGACAAAACGATTTGTTGTAAGTACAAAATCACACAGAATGTGTATTTGCTGAATACAAAAAACGTATACGTGACGCTTGAAAAATCTGAACGAGAGATAGGTACTCCAAACAAGTAGATTTTTAAAGCAACGAAAAAAAAATAGTTTCATTAATTTTACGTTTTTTTTTTTTCCTATTATTTCTATAGAATGATAATAATAAAGGTGCATTTATATTCGTATAACAAAAGAATAAAGAATAATTATTATAAAAATTCTCTATGTAACAAAAAATAAAGAAAATCTATATACTATGAGAAAAATGAAAATTATTTTATAAAATAAAATCTTATTTAATATCTAAAGGTAGATCTTCTATTTTTTCTGTCTGTCTGTCATTATAAAATATGTATATTGATAAAATATTGTAATATTGAGACATTGTATATAAAGTCACAAAGGATATCGTGAGATTGTGATTAAACTTTAATCACAATGGAAATTCGTAAACCACAAGTATGCTTTAGCTTAATTGAGGGATCAAATTTCATTATGAAATTGCCCTTACAATAAATTAACCGAATTCACAGCGAGGCACAAGCCCTGGGCGAGCGTATATAATTAATTTATAGATGGTGAGCGTAGGGACACGATGCCACTGTATCTACTACTACTATATATGTATGCCTTGGTTCCGATATCAATACAGTGATTAGATTTTTAAAATAAAAAAAAAGAAAAAAAAAACCCGAAGCGCACCTGATTTTTATTTGAAAAAGTTCAAGTATTCACTTTATTCTCAGCGACGCTATTACGCGCTCGTTTTATTTTTCTCGTGATACTTTTGCCTCCTTAAGTACATAAAATAGCTGAGCGCATCGCATATGGTCTTATACTTTTTAGTGCTTGCACTTTTCTATTTTCTTTGTTTCATTTTCCGTTAGTTTCTCTACATTTTTTTTTAAATTTGTTTTTAAAAAAAAAAGTATTTTTTGTAAGGAAAACAATTTTCGGTGTTTTAAAAGAATACTTAATGGTATTTTTAAAAAAATAAATTTTATTCCCTAGTGTAGAAAAAAAACTGCTCACTAGGTTGAAAAATAAGATTTAATTTCTTAATTTGGATTTTATT